TGGTAGGCCTATTTTTATGATTCCTGTTGTTTTGCCAAATAAAATAAATCTCTAAAAAGTGCCCCTGAGCGTCTACGGAACTTCCATTATTATCCATTATTATTGCCGCCCTGCCTCCCCGGCAGAACATGGAATTTATTCCCCTCTCCTCAGTACATAATCCAAAATTTAGATTTCGCTTCTGACTGCACTAAGCTTCTGGCAATCAACAGACTGACTCCCTCCCCTCCCCCCTCCGCCTCACCCACCCTCCACCTCCCCCAGGCAGATTGTGTTCCCTTTTCTTAACACATTTGTTATTAAATTGATGAAAGGATCGCCGTGCCATTTTGTCACTTTTTACCCATATCGACGAGGTAGTTTGCAAACATGTATTTTTTCCAGCACAGCTTACTCTCATTAATAATTGAGCGAGGAAATGCTACATTAATTTGTATGCGTACTTTAGTGTTACATCATAACACGCGCAAACCATTATTGCGTCATCGATATCGGTATGAAGCGCAAACAGGTTCAATACAATAGCAACGAAAACACAGCATCGGTATCATTACTGGCGTATTTCAAGTTCACTTGAAACGTTTGCTAATTTTGGTCTTCATTTACGAATTAATTGTTCTTTTCGGAGATCAATTCGTGAATTCGGAGATAAATCTATTACAGGCAAAAGGAAATACAACGTTGAACAGAGATGAATAACTTGGTGAGTATACGTATATAAAATATTAATAACCATAATATATTTCATAGGCCTAATTGGTAAAGTGAGCAAAATGAGTTCAATTTTTCATAAATCTGTCTCTTATACTTATCAGTTAAATAAAATACCATTAGTAGCCTAAACTCGAAAGATTCGATTGATTCATTGATTAAAAGTAAAGCGGCATTGAATAGACCTCAAACTCCAATGGTATCGAGGATAAATGTTTTGTCTTTGTTAACCTATTGTTAAACATGTAAGGCCATTTTCTTTTAGAATGATAATGATGATGATGACGATGATAACGATGCTGATGATGATAATGATGATTTATAATTGCTTGATATCATTTCCGTACACCTAGTTTGTTCATCGATCACACCCCCGACCCCAGAAAGGCCTGACGACCACCAGCCCTGCCATCATCGACGACAAGGAGCAGACTCCTATGCGTGGTCCTTGGCGCTGGAGGATCCCCAATCTCCACATCGTTTCTGCTGTCCGCTCTCTCTACTTCAGACTTCGAGGACGCACACCCGTGACAACGCTCAAACCTAGTGACAATGACAGTGACATCAGTATTGGACAGAAGTCGCTAAGTCGTAGAAGCACCAAGGTTGAGCCTCTGAGTCCGGTTGCCTTCTCAAGCAGCAGTAAGTTCCTGCAGCCATCTACCTGTAGCAACCATTACTCACCACTAGCATCAAGTTCCTCTGTGAGTGCGATTCGGGACGTCAGCACTCCCAGTCGATTCTCCCTTCCTGGTGCGGTGGATGAAACTGAAGTCTTCGCGACTGATAGAACTGATAACAGTCAATCAAACAGCGATCACTTGATCTACCAGCATGTAGGAAAGAGTCGAGATAACGACAAAGCCGCTCTTGATGCTGTATCTGAAGCCAACCTCAACGATTCCGAGGTTGACAAGGAATCGACAAGGAACTCAGATAATGATAGAGACATTATCCAAGCTGAAAGTGAGGACATGCCGTCAAAAGACGAAGTCCACCACCCGGTCGATATGCACGTCATTACTAACTCATCCTCAGTGTCACCAAGTAGTGAAATCGACCGTGATGTTGGTATCAACATTAAAGACAATGACTTGAATATGGATGAGGTATGGCAACCAAGGCCCTTCTCGAGAAGGGGGAGGGAATGCTGGGAAGAGCAAGAGCCTAAGACACGATCTCCAGTTGAAGGGGATCTTGCAGAAGAGGAAGGTATGAGTATCGGATCATCAGTGGACTTTAGCAAACCTGATGATACCGACACAAAAATACCCTGGGTCAATAGGAAGGAAGCATCAATGGAAGATTATTCTGAACTTGACGAAGAGCTTGACTATTATGAGGATAACGACAAAAAGGGCGATGATTATCTCGACATGGATAAGGTCCTGAGGAAGTGCGCACCGACAGAGGTCCTCCGGAATCTGAGAGATATGGTCCAGCTTTCAAAGAACACCACCAGCCAGCTTGAGAATGCTCTTCGACGAGCAGCTCGAATCTCTTCTGGTCCCTTCCCTCGACTTCCCGGCTCTGGTCTTACCAAATCTGAGATCATCGACTTAAAGTGCACGAAGCTTGTGGGTGACTCAGAGGACTTCCTTGGAGAAATGAACAAGAATTTCTTGACCTTCTACAGAGTCCAAGAGCAGATGGACAAAGTCAGCGCCCAGCAGGACAGCTTTGTCTCCTCCATCCTGGTGAAGAGAGGACCGTCTCGCGACTGGCGTATGGGTCATGCTGCTATCATGCGGAAGATGGGAAAGCTCTGGAGTAGAGATTATCCTCTGGTAATCACCAGGAAGCTGAAGGCAAGCATCCAGGAAACCATCTATGAAGAGGATGGAGAGTAAGGACGGAACAAACTGTTCCAATTAAGGACAAGTTATGCAGGACTTCCATTCAGAACCCATAGGTTGAACTCCTCATAATGTGCATATAAGTCTAGCAAACCAGTTATGAAGAGGATGGAGAGTAAGGCCATAACAAACAATGTTCCAATGAAGAACAAGTTATGCAGGACTTCCATTCAGAACCCATAGGTTGAACTCCTCATAAGGTGCATATCAGTCTAGCAAACCAGTTATGAAGAGGATGGAGAGTAAGGACGGAACAAACTGTTCCAATTAAGGACAAGTTATGCAGGACTTCCATTCAGAACCCATAGGTTGAACTCCTCATAATGTGCATATAAGTCTAGCAAACCAGTTATGAAGAGGATGGAGAGTAAGGCCATAACAAACAATGTTCCAATGAAGAACAAGTTATGCAGGACTTCCATTCAGAACCCATAGGTTGAACTCCTCATAAGGTGCATATCAGTCTAGCAAACCAGTTATGAAGAGGATGGAGAGTAAGGACGGAACAAACTGTTCCAATGAAGGACAAGTTATGCAGGACTTCCATTCAGAACCCATAGGTTGAACTCCTCATAATGTGCATATAAGTCTAGCAAACCAGTTATGAAGAGGATGGAGAGTAAGGCCATAACAAACAATGTTCCAATGAAGGACAAGTTATGCAGGACTTCCCCTCAGAACCCATAGGTTGAACACCTCATAAGGTGCATATCAGTCTGCAATCCATCTATGGAAGACGCAAGACCAAAGTGGGTACATAACAGCTGATGTTCCTTTGCAAACAGGACTGCCAGTGAGAGTTGAAGGGATAAACTCATGGAGATTTGGCAATATCAAAAGTTCTTTCACAAAGTGGAGATTGGAAATCATTGCCTTACTGCCCCGGAAGAAACTCATCGTAAAACAGTACAGTCGTCTCACAGAATCCGATCAGTAAAGAACGATTAAAGCATGGTGGATCGAGGCTCTTCATAATTTCGTGCTCCGATCAGTTTCTTCCTCTCCAGAGCAAAGAGCTCCATCGAGCTCCAATGCACTACCGGTGAAATCTGAGCAAGATGCAAGGCATCATTGAATTACAACTTCCACCCGTTTTACAATGAAATATCAACGGGGTACTACAGAGAACCAACATACAAAAATAAAGAAATCATAAAGACATGAATAAATCGCATCAAAGTATTCTAGCAAGATAAAAGTTTTTAAAAGAAACCAACAAAATTGAAATAAAATTAATGTGAAACATGACATATTGACTGTTCTCCACTTTTTGACAGCGTGATCGCACCCTTGTGGATGAGAGATGCACAAGTATATTAATTGTGGGTATGGCGGCCGAGCCACCCCCCCCCCCCCTCTATCCCTTGCCCAATGTTTTGTTGGGGGGGGGGGGGAGCCCAACTAATGTATGGGTGCTGTAAGTTTTTGTTTCTTCTCTATTAAGCACACTGCAAATCGTGCATCCTTTGAAATAGTGTTAAGTCTTACTGGATGACTGTAGCCCCATGGACCAAACAAAATGTTTTTTTCTTTTCTCATAATTGCGTAAATTTGTTTCATTACGCTTGTTGTTGTTCTTCTTCTGATTAAGTCTGCCTCCTTCAATTGACTGAAGATTCTTGTGTGCGTCTGTGTGTGTGTTAATCGCAATTTACGTCCATTCGAGTGCTATTTACATTATAGTACAGTTTATTTACAAATATTTACAAGCTCATGATAGGATGATTAAGGAAGACTTGCCACTGCCATCAACCGTTTGCAGTCGATCACGGAAAGCTCCAACAGATGGCGCTGCAACAATTTCTGATTTGTAGATATAGGTTTGAAGGTGTGATGCGCAGGGGTGGTATGAAGAGGAGGAAGGTTGGGTTTTGAATATGATTTTTGATTTGAATTTTTGATTTGATTTGATTTCTGCATTTTCCAAATAAAATATAACTGAATAACGAAGAACATATAAATATAAGGTATAATACAACATATGCAAACAATAATTTCTTCATGTCAAAATGTTTTTTTTAACATAATAAATAACGAAACTTAATATTTCCATAACATATTATCATAAATTTAAAGTATTGTCCGAACTGTAATGTTGGAAAAGTGCAGGAGATGAGAGAAAAATGGAGAATATTTGAGGATCTGAAAATACATGAAACAGTATAGTTTGAGCTAGATCTAGAGTATGTTGACAATCTTCAGAAAAGAACGACATTATAATTATTTAACAATGATGATAATAATGATGATGGTGAAGATGATGATTATGATGATAATGATGATAATTATGATAATAATGATGATAAAAAGAAAAAAAAAAGGAAAAAAAGTAGCCTGAAAGATAAGACTATCATTCCCAGGTCATGTCGAATCCAGCTAGCTAGCGCTAGCTGCTGAAATGCGAGCCATTTTCCGCCAGGACTAGCTGCGTGGACATTATCGAAGAAGGCCAAGAAGCAGCCGGCCGAATTGGAAAATGGAAAAGCTCGGAAGTGTGTCATTTCACCAAACTGTATCTGATATCTGCATGACACATTATGAAAGGTCATTGCCAAGAAAAGGGAAACCAGAGAATGGACGGGAATGGACTTTGTTGGCTGCAGTGCTACAGTCGAACTTATGTGGTAAGAGCGATATCTGCCACTCCGGTCCCATGTATAGAAATAGGCGTGGGGGATGTGGATCAGCCTTGTAATATTGTGTAGAAGTAACAGTAGAACACTCCCGTTTCTTCTTCTCCTTCTTCCACTTAAGATTAGTCTGGTTCAATCAAGGTTGAATATTAAGAAGTATGATATGATATGAGGCAAGTTTTTTTAGATGAAAATTAAGGACTGATGTGATATCTAAATTCTGATGAAAGTCTAGGCCGTGGCCGTGCCGTCTAACTTGTAATGTAATTGTATATTACAAGGTGATGCGCATGCATACAAATGAGTTATATGAAGATTTGAATATCAAACATCCTTCTATCTTTTTTTTTAAAGACATGAATGGTGCGTATTTCATTGATCAAGATTAGATAAAAACTCTTTATCAGTCATATTTTATAATCCTTTCAGCAAACACTCGTCAGCCTTATTATGAATTTGGTTAAAGGTAATGACCAGTTATGGTCATGCGATTGCATTGTGAAAGAAACGTTGTGGAATCGATCAGAAAGGGTTGATCCTCTAGCATATAAGTATTGGTGTGTACTGCAAGGTTCTGGAATCATCAAAATGATAAGAAATTTGGCCCAGTCTTCGTAAAGTTACAAGCACTGTACACAGAAAGATGTATATGGGACTACTCACACATGCGCGACATGTGCGTTTATCTCTCACAATCCAATAGATAAACTGATTTACCAAATACATCAATTAGTAGGCGGTTTCCCGGCAAAATTTGTATCATCATGTAGACCTAGTCAAAACATATTCTTTCACATGATTGGTAATAAAGAGCTTCCATTTCATTTTTTGAAATTGGGGCATTTCCAATACTGGTCTTTACCTTTAATATAATACATGTACAACCTGTATATATATCCTTATGCATGTTTTGGTTCATATACTGTCAAACCTGCCATCCCGTTTATGGTTAGACTTCATGCATTGTAGGAACGCTTAAAAATGACAAACGCTGCCAAATCTCTTGTAAGTTACACTGTACATACAAAATTGACACTGGTTCTCCACCAACAGCATAAGCGACCATATAATCATTTGATTATTCCTAATGTGTCCATTGGCCGTGATGGTCTAACCATGAAACTGCTGTCCAAGAGATGTATGCTGCAGCGTGTTGTATTTTCTTGCCATTGATGCTCACAAACAAAGGAGTTGATTACTATGGCACTTAAGTGTTACTTTAATGCTGCAAGTTCTTATTTGATATTTATATATTGGTCAATGTTATTGTTGTTGTTTTAGTTTTAATGGCGTTGCTAGTATTTCATTAGTCTTCTTGTACAGCTAAGTTTCTTGTTTTTCCCCAATCACAGGGTCTGAAAGTGAATTGAAAGTGGTGTCCATGGCAACTGGTTCAAAGTGCCTCGGCGCATCAAAGATGAGTAAAACAGGTATGTTTGTTAATTCCTATTCAGTGCAGAGAGTCCTAAGATATTGAAGTCCAGATTAATCAGAGAAAGAGCTAGGTAAAATGACACTTAAGCCAATTCACTCAAAGCTGTTTTAAAAAAACACTATGAAAAGAACTTGCAGTTTGGAAATAGTAATAGTCTTTGTCCAAAAAGAAGAAGAAGAAAAAGGAATATGAAAAATCTAGGCATACTTAATTAAATTAACTCTTTCTTTGAAATGCCTTTGTTTCAATATTTTTCCTGGACATGTAAATTTTGTCTTTCAAAGTTATTGGAAAACCACATGAAAAACAATTGTCAACACATTATACATTATGCTATGTAAAGTTTGATGCCATGAAGAATTATCAGGCCATTGTAAACAAGATGGAAGTAATCAAAGAAATCAAATAACATTTATTGCTATCCGTAAACTCAACTTTGTCTTATTTTCCCCTTCTACTATGATAAAGGTGATGTATTGAATGACAGTCATGCTGAGGTTCTTGCAAGGAGAGGATTCCTGAGGTAATCATACCAACATTCATTTTGTGTGTGTTTTGCAACATGAATGTTCTATCCATAACTCCACCAAAACATTAGTGGCACATGATTTGTATGAGCACTGAGCAGATACCAAATATCTGGTGCTAAAAGATCAGTTGAAGGGGTAGAATGAAGGAAGAAGTTTTCTAACTGAAACAATATTTAATTAAGATATTCCTCTTTGTTGTTAACTCTTTGACTGGGCCATCAGATTTGAATTGAAATGACATTTGGGAAAATTAATTTGATATTCACGTTTTGTTTTGGTGATGTGTTGATATTCTTAAATGCTAGAGCGCCGCAATGGCAGCACAGCTAATGCCGGGGTAATAATCTCCAATTTTGTAAGCGCTCAGTGATTCTAATAAGCGCTATATAAAAACTGAGTATTATCATTATTATTATTATATACTTTGTGAAGTTGAGTCTTAAAGAGAAAATTCAAAGTTGTACAAAGAAAGTTCAAATCTAATTTGTCAATTTGTATTGCTTATAGGTATCTCTATCACCAATTGAGATGTGCGATGACAGGTAGTCATGAAAACAGCATCTTTTACCAGCCAGGTGAAGATGGGAAATGCAAATTGAAGGAAAGAGTGAGGTTCCATTTCTTCACCAGTCAAACTCCTTGTAAGTCAATGTGTTTGATAGCTGAATCATTTAATTTATCATAATCTAGTAGAGTATGTGTCACTCACTATATTGTATATTATAAAATGGCTCTAGTATTTTAAGCATCGTGATTGGTCAATACGCGTCACATGACATTGAAAAAAATTTGATGCAAGCACGATTTTGCAGAAATGAGTGCAGAAAAAGCGCAGTAAAAAGTTATATTGCACGGTGCGTACGCGTGACCATGGAGATCATAGTGCGCGCGCGTACGTGTAGTACGCGCTCCCTCGAGTGCATTGCAATTATTGTAGGCTACGCGTAGCTAATATTGTACGCTCCACCATGATCCCCAGCGCAACGTACGCGTAGCTTAGCTCTAGCTAACTAGCTAGATCAGAGCGGCCAGTACCAGCGGGGTATTATTAAAAAGCAAATTTTTATTTTACTTTTGCCTTGGATTTAGGCCTGTTTTGACTTTTGGATTTTATAATGAAGCCAGGAATTTCAGCTGTCTGATGTAGACTCGTCTCTAGACCCACTGTATGGATTTTATTTTTAATCAAGGCAATGAATCCCATTGACTTTTTGGTAAGCCTGCAAGGTCTTAGTCTAGAAGTAGAACCAACATAACTCTAGATCTAGATCTAGATCGAACTCTCGTAGACTCTAACTTATTAGATCTAAAGTTTCGTTTGTTGCTATTTGTGTCGCTATTTTATAAAACAAATAACGCACTTGACCCTGTTGTGCAAAACATAAATGCAGTAAATGCTCGGTTTCTTCAGATGGTTCGCACTGTCAACTCGCCGCAAGCGGCTCGTTGCACAGAGCGGCACCAATCTAAAGAAACCTCGCGCGTACTGCATTCACCGCTATTGCACTCTGGGCCGTGCGTTATTTGTATACTATTCAAGCCTTGATCTCTCACAAGGGATACATTGATCTTCCATGACTGATTTACCTTTGTTTAAACAGAGGTCTGTTCATGATATGTATGCAGTATTTGGTGTTTTTCATTAGATTGTTTTTCCTAATTATTTCCACAGTCTCAAGTCTTACCCCTCCCCACTCTCTCTCTCTCTCTCCCTCTCTCTCTCCCTCTCATTCTTTCTCTTTTTGTCTCTACCTCCCTCTCTTCTGTTTTCTTTTTCTTTTCTCTTTTACCCTCTCTTTATCTTCCTCTCTCTCTCTTTTCCTTTATCTCTCTCCTCATTATACTTTGTCTTTTCACTTTTCATTTATTTCTTATCAATCACTAGCATGATGCTCCAATTCACAGATAACAGTACATCCTTACTTTAGTTTTGCTCTTTCATGTGCAGGTGGTGATGCATCAATCTTCAATAAAGATGACGAAGCTTCTACAGATACCAAGCCAACATCACAGCATGATATTGGACAGAACCCACAAAACATTATTAATAAACATTCAATGAGCAGTTTGAATAAGAGAAAAGCAGAAGAGAAGTTGAATGGGTCCAACCTACCAATGACACAGAAAATGAAATTAGATTCATTGCAGTCAATTTCAGACCATGTTGTTCCCCAAACCCAGAACCATATTGAGAGGAGAAGTTGTTGTAATCATGACCAGCATGCAGAAAGATGTTCAACCTGCCCTGCTGATGATCATCAAACTGCATTAGTGCCTTCAGCAAGAATGATGCAGGATGAACTGGTTAAAGTTGTTACCTGTACTGGGACTAAAGTTGTGCCCTCTAGCTCACCTTGTATTAATGGTATGCCAGGTGGCCGGGATTCAGACGAAGATGGGGGATGCCTTTCAGGAACCTGTCCCATAGATGATGAACTTTCAGTATCCTGCGACACCTTGAACAGTCCACTGGAACTAAGTTCTCCTGGACTTGATATCAAGACAAGTAGTTTACTCCACAATGAAAGTGCCTCTGAGGAAGTGCCTCCTGGCCAAAGAAGTGTCCACACCAGACACACGGATGCCTCCAAACTGAATAGTGCAATACCTCTCAAGAGGGACATTTACAGGACAGATCCACAAGATCAAAGTTGTCCTAGACTTGATGTCAAGACAAGTAGTGTACTCCCCAGTCAAAGTGCCTCTGAGGATGTACCTTCTGGCCAAAGTAGTGTCCACACCAGACACACGGATGCCTCCAAACTGAACAGTGCAATACCTCTCAAAAGGGACATTTACAGGACAGGGGCCAAGCCAACGCCCAGTGGACCACAAGACCAACTAGCGGACGGTGAGGATTACCATACTGTGGGACTACTGCGGATCAAACCAGGCCGTGGGGACAGGACCCTGTCAATGTCCTGCAGTGATAAGATGGCAAAGTGGAATGTTGTAGGACTTCAGGGGGCTCTGCTGTCCCATCTTATCTCAGAACCTGTCTACTTATCCTCTGTTACTATTGGACAGTAAGTTTCAAGTTATTGAAATGTTCATTGTTCTGTTTTGATGTTATACAGTAGCATGTATTTACATTTATGTTTGTTATGATGTACAGCATGTACATTTCAGGATTGAGAGGTTATAGTAAAACAAATATGACACCAATGTTTCAGTAGTAATTTATGAATCAATACAATTTTTGTTTAATCTTTGCAAAGATCAAGTGATATTACCGGTAGTAAAATAAGTCTTCTGTTGTCTAGTGAAATAATTTGTCTATGCATTTTGAAAGTGTTCTCTCTATCTACTATGTGGTTGTCAAATCCTCATGTGTTTTTGTAAACACCAATCAATTATCAATGTGTTTACTCCTTATACCTGCTATTCATATCATGATGATAATGTATTTTAAAGTTGTAAAAACAAGATTTTCATCCATTAATTTTATTTCCTTTTATTCTGTACACATGCTCTTCTTTTCTTTAATGGTTTTTCATGTTGAATCTTTTCACCCAAATGCTTAGAGACTTCGGTGGTAAGCGCTTTATAAGCACTGTTTTTATCTATTATTTTGTATTATTATTATTATTATTATTATTATTATTTATTATATTATTTATTATTAACTCCCAAAGCTACTTCCTCATCTATGAGTATCCCTACCCTTACTCTGTTTGATACTATCCCTATCTTTTTTTCTAATGGCAAAACAGATGTCCATTCAACAGCCAGGCCATGCACCGAGCAATCATTGGAAGGGTGCAGCCTGTGAGCAATCTTCCACCTGGTTACCACGTAAACTCACCGGTAGTGATGCAGTCCAACATCATCTTCAAAGACTCCAAGAAGGAGGTAGAGAGGAGGAGAGATCCAAGCAAAGGCAAGATGACACCAGCTGGTGCAGGTAGGTAGGAAGATGCAGCAATCACCTTTGAGATCTTTGTTTTCTTCAGTTCTGGGTTATGGTGCATTTTCGTTTAGCTTTCTAGTTCACTAGTTGACTTTTAGAGACAAACAAATCTTTAGTATGTCTCTGTTAGTACCATATCCTCAATACAGGAGTAATATACTAGTTATACCTAGGAGGCTTAAATAACAAGATGTTACACCAGGTTATGTGCTTCAAGAGAGAGCTATCAAGGCTCTTTATTTTCTGGATGTATTCCACTTTTACAAGTCTGTCACAAGGTGGCGCCATTTCACTATCAATTTTGGGACATATAGAATAATCTCATTACACTGTCCATGCCATTCTTTTATACTTGTATCAACCAATCAACTATCTTGTTCCTTTTTCGCCTTGACTAGCCATTATTTGGAGTTACGTACCTGACCAGCCTGTTGATGTGACAGCCAATGGAAAAAGACAAGGTGCTACAGCTAAGAGATGGAATGATCCTCAATCAAGGTACAAACTCTCTATGTCATCCATTGCTAAAGCTTATGTTAAAGGGATTGGGTATCTTTGTCTCATATTCTAAACAAAACCCTGCATTTAGCTAATGCTGCAATCATGATTATTAATTTTTCGGTCAGTCAGGTATCCCATGACGTGTACAAGCCGATCGCCCGTCTGATTATCAAGATATTTATGATTGGAATTCAAAATTTTAAAAACTGTTTTTCCAACGGTTTTTGTAACACTACAGTTTATTGGGGAAAATGAGTATGGTAAAATCGGTCACTCAAAGATTTTTACTTTTTTGAGGCACTTCATGATCATTTTGAAGCCCAATTTGTTTAGGGCTTCATATTACACCATATCATAGATGCTGCACATGTAGGGCCCTGCATATCAGGTTTAGCATTGTTAAACATTGCCTTTAAGCTGTTGAATATTGAATTCTGTACTTCCCATACGCTTAGTGCAGGGCAGGGAACATCCATTTAGTTCCTGTATGCAATGAGTTAAAATAGAACTTATCAGACTTTTTTAATATCAGATTTAGTCGAACACTAGATTTGTAAGTGTGATACTAGCTCGTTGCTTCTCCTGGAACCTTATCTTTGAAAACCGATATGCCATGCTTGACCTGAAATTTGCTCCTGCAATAATTAATCCGTGCTTTGTTTCGTCACATTAATAAGGTAGGGTTGCAGTTGGGTTTTAGATAAGGTTAAGGTTTAGGGTTAGGTTTAGATTTAGGGTTAGGTTTAGGTTTAGGGTTAGGTTTAGGTTTAGGTTTAGGTTTAGGTTAAGGTTTATGGTTAGGAATAGTGTTGGGTCCAGGGTTGAATGAAGGTAAGAATTGGGTTAGTATAGGAAATTGACACAGAGTAGTTGTTTCAGGAGCAAGTGTCGTACAACCGTGCCATGAACTACTGTATTGTGGAAAGAGGTCAATTGCTTTCAAAGTGTTTGAGTACGTACTACAAATTGTAAACTACAGAGTGGCTAAACATCGTCTATTTTTCAGAGTCACTAATCGATTAATAAACATTATCTTGATATATCTGTTTATTTAATGTTATCTCTCTTTTCGATGTAGTGAAGTGACTTTTTATGTTAAACTCATCCTTTGATTATGTAAACTGTACCCTGCATTATTTTTAAGAGCACAAGTTTTTATTAGATGGAAAATGAAATCTTTTAAGGATGTAAAATATATGTAATTACATATATTATTATTAAATTCACCAAGAATCATACAATTCAATATTACCAGTGTCAAAGAAAGGCTTTATAAATGATTCCATCTGTTAACTTTCTCTTTCATATGCAGGAGCAAGAATTGCAGATGCCACCTCTTTCATCTTTTCAAGAAGCTTCTAGCAGGTGTAGACAGGGACAAGTTGCCCCAGACACTCCAAAGTCATGACGACCTGAAGACCTATCATGATTACAAGATGGCCGCCAGCCACTACCAGAAGGCTTGGACACAACTTTTAAAGGTTTTCAGCTCATGGGCCAGAAAGCCGGTTGAATTCTCACAATTCCAGTGATGTGAACATCATTTAAAGCATGACTGCACTAATTGTAGCAATGTGCGCCTTCTATACAGCCAACAATGCCTAAGCGGTGCACGTTGATCCCCCATGATGCCCTTTTTCTTATGTAAATTGAGAGCTGATTTGAGCTGTGCACAACAGTGTAATGAGGTACCCGAGTACACTCCCAGGCTCACAGGCGAATACTCGAATATTCGGACGCCATGTTTTTTTATAGTTTTTTTGAATTTTTTTGAATTTTTTTGAATTTTTTTGATTTTTAAAAAAAAAAAAATTTTTTTTTTTAATTTTTGGATTTTTGGATTTTTGTTCTTTTTTTTTCTTTTTTTGCCACTACCATACCACTCGGCAGTTTCTCAGGTCCCTCGCTGAAAACGCATGCAACTTTACTTTGAGTTGCAGTTGAAGGCGCCGATTTCATAAGAATAATAACAGTAAACAATGCTGTTTTAAAAACCAAAGATGGCAGAATAATCCATTTTCCTCCAAGTCCAAACAGAAATCTGGACATTTGGTCCCAGTTTCTGAAAGGTGAGTTTGACAGTGCTTGAGTTGGGAAACATTTTTACCGATGGTACCATGCCAGCGGACGCCGCTCTCCCTGGCACGGGTAAGCGTGGGTCTGTACATTTTTTTTTTTTTTTTTTTTTTTTTAATTTTTTTTTCTTTGCGGCCGAATATTCGGGTACAAGAAATCGTACCCGAGTAGTTGTCAACCGTGCGGGTATTCGAGCATTCGACTACCCATCGCAGCCTTATGAGATATCCACCTGCCAGTGACCTCGCAGGGAGGTCAAATCCATCCATGCCAAAATAGTGCAGAGGGGCTGTAAATTATAGTAGAGAGTTTCCATGTGTATTGCATCATCATTCACTTACGCCAGATTTGGTTGAATTACCAATTGATGTGTGTACAGGACTCTCAAGGGTCCCACCAGAAAATACTCACCACCTTGCCTTTATATCTTGAGGGTGAGCAAAATTTTTTAATGAGAATTCCCTAAGGTGTTATTTTCAGGCCAGTGCATTACACAACTACACAAGGCCTGTGGGTCATAACAGTTCAGTGCACTCTTGGTGGTTGACAACAACTGCTATTACGCAATAACGCCCGTTTGGTGTCAACTTACCCTCTAGAAACCACTGCTATGAGCCTTCAAAGATAAAGTTGTGTTCTGGTCATGCGATTGCATTGTGAAAGAAATGGTGTGGAATCAGAAAATATTAATCATGTAGCATACAAGTATTGATGTGTACTGCAAGGTTCTGGAATCATCAAAATGATAAGAAATTTGGCCCACTCTTGGTAAAAGTAACAAGCACTGTACACAGGAAGTTATATATGGGACTATGCAAACGTGTGGCATAAAACTGTGGTCCACTTTTTAAAAATGTTACATGTCATATTTCGAGAATGAGGGCATTTGAGGAGCCATGCTTTTCAGGAAACATTTTTTCTCTCTGATGCTCTTCCAGACTAACATAAAAACAATGGAAAACGCTCTCAAATTGTTTTTATTTACCTCTCCCCAGAACTCAACCTTCTCTTTAAGAGGTATATGTGACCTGTAAGCTAAGAGTTCATTTGATTCTACTTGATTCTACTCAAGTAGGCTGGCAGATGTTCTACTTACATAGTACTTTCACTCAAACTAATATATTCATTACACCATATTTCTCCTTGTCTGTCTGATAAAAGCAGGTACTATCACCAGCAATGAAAGTCCTCAGGAATATTGTTTTTAATAAACAGTCTCATCTTGACCTTTTTAAAGTGATTGTCATTGTATCCATATTTTATTGAAATCAAGTACATACAGTCATTAATATCTCTACTACTTGATAAAGTTCTGGTATCTTTTGTTATGCTAATGTAAAATTTACATATGAAGTCGCCCACCTTACTTTGATATTTGATTAAATGGAATTTTATTGATTCGGCTCTCAAACCATAAGAATTCTTGAGATAAAAATACATACCATACATAAAGAATATTGATTTAAGGGGAAATGTAGTACATCTATTACCTTTAAAGGTAATATAAGACACTTCTGAGAAATAAATTGGTCAAATTGTGCTGGAATCGATCATTAAATATTTCAAAAACATATTATTGTGTGTCTTCTGATAAACTAACTCTTGGCATTTGTGTGAGGTGCTTTGAAGAAAAAACGAAATTCCATTATCATATAATTTTTGCTTTTGAGATAACTACAAATTTGCAAATGAAATACTTGTAGGTGGGAAATGCATGAAAGAAATACACGAGTGCCCATGACATGTTTGGGGATATCCACATTATATAAGATATCATCATCATCATACTTCTTTGTATTATTATTAATTGTTCTTCCTCTTCTTTTAATCATTATTTTCATCATTATTATTATTATTACTATTATGAAATGACATGTATTATTCTTTTTTTAAATGATATTGTTTTAAATTATTGTTATTATTATTATAATCATAATTATTATTATATTATCATCATCGTCATCGTGAATATGTTTCACGTGTTGGGCTGGCATCACACACAGGGATGATGTATCCAGAGCTCAAAGTTGCTAATTCCCATAAGTGTTCTCTCCGCTGTAGGAAATGTAGAGGAATCCATCGACATCGCGATGCTCTGCATCAACTTCAGCTAGAGTTGAACTGTACATGCAAAACAGACACACACAGGCAAAATATAAATCAGAAGATAAATGTATGTGTCTGTCAGTGTACACAATAAGATATGCGTCCTTTAAACTACTTTATTAAGAGGGCAAAAATAAATTTTTTTTTTTAGTAAATTAAAGGTAATACAAAGTTTTGGGAAATTTTGAAAATTGGCTGGATAGTGATTCTTTACAATTTTTATATATTTTGATGCCCCTGTGGGTGTATTATAAGCACTAGAAAATTTAGTCCTTATAACACTTCTGCTTTTGAGAAAAATTGAATATAAAAATTTACCGGTGCTCCCGGTAAATTTTGATAAATTTCAAATAGCGTATACGGCCTTACAATAATAGCTGCGATCATGAAAATCTCATAATATGCAGTTGTGATGTATAATTTCCAAACGGGAATAGCTAATCTGTCGATTTGAGTCAAGAAACTGTGTTATTATAGCTAAATTAATATCTTGACCTTGAGAGGGAGCTATACTACATAAAGAGTCTATTATTTACACTTTCATCACTTTAGACTCGATTTCAACCGCGACAACAATCACTGATTATTGTAGGATCGCATATGCTTCAAATATGTTCTTTTGAACCAAATTCACGACCCTATACCAAAACTTTGCATTACCTTTAAAATGCCCTTGTGCGCTATAATAATAATAATATTTAATTTTTATATAGCGCTTATTACAAATGTCTCTAAGCGCTTTACAAATATACTATTACCCCGGTCATTGGATTCAGTGCTTGCCCGCACACACTGTACTTAGTGTAACTAAATTTTCACCTAGGTACCTTTTTCCTGGCTATCAATTTATCAATAGGTGACTGTTTGTAACCAACTTATTAGAAGTATGGGATCATTTCTATTTCTTTCTAGCTCTGTGGTTATCTCCCACCTCGAGTATCTCTAATCATATGGCTCCGAAAGTGAACTAATAATAATAATAATAATAATATTGGCTTCTTATATAGCGCACGAATCGACCTTGCAAGGTCCTCAAGGCGCTCCAATTACATTACCCGGCTATGCTAGGCTGCCGATTCGACGCTCACAGCATTTTAAGGAATTTCTTCCTACCGGTACCCATTTAACACCTGGGTGGAGAGTGGCAAATGTAGATCAATATCTTGCCAAAGGACATTAGTGCCGCGGCGGGACTCTATAATATATTTACAAAGATACCCTGTATAATCAACGTCATACAGAATATCCACTGAATTATATGCCCTTGCAGAAACTAAATGAAGGCCATGTTTCACAAAAATGTTTGAAATGAGGCCGTATACAGAAATTGGCCTAAGAGGGTGCAAAACACCCGAGCTTACGGGGAGATGCGTAAAATTAATAAAGGCAGCCATAGGTGGATACCCCCGCTTTGTGTTCAGGGTCGGGAGTGGGGGGATGGGGGGGGGGGGGGAGTGCCTCTTAAAATATATATATGCTGGACATGGCCTAAATTGCAACTGAACTGAAATTTCTGAAAATGCCTCCTGAGTTTTATCCGGGGAGGAGTTATCTCACCATCATTATCGCTGAAATATGATTCTGTAATCTATTACCTACTTTGATTTTGCGGTTGGAAATCATGATGTCAGAAGGGGCAACCCCCCCCCCCCCTGCTCCCCTCCTTGCCCCTCCCTCAAATACGCCAGTGCCTGATGGCGCTCACCTTGCTGCGGGGGTTACTTCGTTGACAAACAAGAAAAGGGGCTTCTCGGGAGGTAGTTGGATTCGCTTTCTTATTATATACTCGAATTGCGCCACTGTTGTCTTGGCTGGCTGTAAGAACTTCCTCTTGTCGATATCTTGTATAGAACTTTTCATTTCTTTCTCGACTATGACGGGTATGTTGTCTGGGTATTTGGATCGAAATTCCGCCGACTCGGACTTTCGGTCCTCTGTATCAAGGAGATAAATGCAAGAAAAAGGGTATAATTGGTTATTAATTAAAGAATGTTCTCTTGTCGATATCTTGTATTTAACAAATTTCATTTCTTTCTCGACTACGACGGGTATATTGTCTGGGTATTTGGATCGGAATTCCGCCGACTCCGATTTCCGGGCCTCTGTATCAAGGAGATAAATGCAAGAAAAAAGGTAATTATTGGTTATTAATTACAGAGTGAATGAATCGCGACTCCATGGTGAATATAGGAACAGAAAGTTAACTTCAGGGGAAACAGGTATTTTTTAATACCAAATGCTTCCATCAATGAAGGAAATAATTGTTATAATTCATCGTAAATTATATGAGAAAATTTGTCAAGAGGAAGCTCTTTCAACTTCACCTCTCTGTTTGATAAAAATAGAGATCAAATACTAAAGAATACTAAAGGAAATGACAGGGAATGTGGCGAGATGTCATGCGTGTGATATAAGAGAGAACAAATTAAGATTGACTGGCCAAGAGGTGTTTTAATTTATTAATCTTAAAAAAAACGAACATCATGGCTCTTTTAGAAAGTGGAAGGAAAGGAAAATACTTGTAGTTTTAATGGAGAGAGACCAGGAACTGCATCAAGATTATGAAACAGGTTTTTTTAGAAGGAAAGAATAATCATAGGGGACACAAATAAAGCATTGTGAATTTGTTTTCTTCTAAAGATCGAGTCAACAATTTACTATAGCTAGGCGGAGAAAAGATAATCTTTACACAACATTATTTCTTCATGTGAGGCTCTTTTCACTTCACCTTGCCGTTGGATAGAGTAAAGAACGAATACAAAAGAAATCTGGCTTTAAATGAAAGAACAGTAAATAGGCGAGATTACATGAGCATGATTAATGATAGAGAAACAAGTTGTCTCGTCCGGGTGCGTTTTCACTCTTAATATTTGAAGTGCGGGAAATTATATTGCTCTTTTATGAAGCGAAAAGAAAAGGAATATATTTTTAATGTATACAAGAGAAAGAACGGGAACTGACTCGACATTATGACACAAGAGCTATTTTCTTTTATAAAAGAGGAAATAATGTTAGGGTTGTGTATATCTTAAGCCTCGGTCACAAATGCCATTACGAACTGTGCTACGAACGCCGTACGAACGATTTTCAGACAATAGAAATTCGGAAAAACAATGGAAAAAACAGGGAGTTTCGTACGAACGCATCTTTCGTACGAACCTTTGTGACCGTAGCTTAACACACATTCAATCTTTTGGGAGGCTTGAGAAAAGTAATTACAGTCTCAAAAGTATTCTGATTATCGTCACTTTAATGTTTAACATGATGGTGAAAAGGAGATGATATAGAAAAGAAAGAGATAGAAGGAAGAGAGAGAAAAATAATAATTGTATCAAATTATGATATTGAGGCGTGATTTTAGAAAGAGAGCAAAAAGAAACTCAATCGGAAAGAAGAATGCCAATAATCGTTTGGTTATAAGTTAAAGATAGCTAGCTTTAAAATCAGACACTATACGATTTGCGAATGTATTATGTGTGATGGTATATTGTACCAAAAGTTAATGGTACAATTTGCCTTTCTTTGAAAAGAAAGCAAATGACATGAACTCCCTCTCTCAATTTTACAATTCGGAAAACGAAAGGCCGCAAAAGTTTGTAAAAGCTTGTCCCCAAATTAACTTTAAAAAACAGAAGAGCATTCTGCCGACACGGAAGGGCTATACGAATAAAAGCATGAAAAGAACCCGCAAACAGCTAGGGCAGCCTTCTAAATTAAATCGTATGTTTCTCGTGGGAAGAGATCCTAAAGAAATAGTTAAAACTAGGTTTTATTCAAATTAAAAATCGATTGATAGGGCCTTTTTCAAAAGGAAATTGACAGAAAAAGTAAAATTCATGATTGAAGACAAAACGGAATTCAAACTTTGGAAGCGTTTTTCTTGTAAAAATACCTTTTTTTAATGCCTATTCCTCTCACCGTTTAACAGCTATTATCCCCACTAATACTCTAAAATTGAGCGAAATATCAAGCTTATGAAACGGAAAATCCAAAAGAATCATAAAATAGAATTTGAAAAAATGCGACTTCTGTCTCTTTTTGACGTGACGGTTCGCAAATCATGAGAGATTGAAATAAGTACACAGCTCTTTTTTTTAAGTGTCAGTTACAGATACTTCTACTTCTACTTCTTCGACGATAATCAGCAGGATCCATAAGTCAGGATGCAGTGCTAGTAGGGGGGGGGGGGTTTACACACATAAAAATACTAGAATACAAACTGATATTTGAAAGTGTTTCATCACTGCAAGAAACAATGCACAAATCATACAGAGTGACAACTCGGTCACTTTTCTTTCGGTAGTGTAATGACATCTTACCTTCAGAATGTTCCTCTTTGAAACCCCACTTCATCTTTGCTTCTATCCGGAGGACAACTCCTTGATCCTGTACACGAAAATTCAACAAGACAATTGTAGCAAGTAGTCCAAACCGTAGCTCTTTCCACAGACGACAATTCATATACTGTCTTTATAACTTGACAGCTCTATATTATAGGTACATCGATTTTTTTCCGGTAGAGCTAGTATTTTACTGTCTATCGATGTGCTTGCTCTATATACGTCGGTCGTGGAAGTTCAGTGCACTCTTTGTGATTGACAGCAGCTGCAATTATGCAATAACGCCCGCATGGTGTCCACTGACTCCACTTACCCTTTAGAAACCACTACTATAACTCATGTGACATGTAAAGCAAGGCTCCCACTTAGACGAGTTGGAGCCTCGAGTTGTGGCGAGCTGGCGCGATCTTATGGCAAGCCGTTTTATCATTAAAACATATTTCTTGATATCAAGAAATCAATTCTTGATATGAAGAAATAATTTTACGTTGTAAAGCAATGGTAATTCTTGATATCAAGAATTGAATTCGTGATATCAAGAAATATGTTTTAATGATTAAACTGCTTTCCATAAGATCGCGCCAGCTCGCAACAACTCGAGGCTCCAACTCGGCTAAGTGGGAGCCCTGCTTAAGCTATAGGAGTTCATTTGATTCTACTTCATGCTGGTAGACGTAGATGTTCATCTTACATAGTACTTTCACTTAAGGGAAAGTCCACCCCCAAAATAAGTTTGTTTTGATAGAGGCAGAATAATAAGAAAATCAGGTGAGTGAAAGTTTGAGCAAATTCTGAATGAAAATAAGACAGTTATGAATTATTGAAGTTGTGATCAATCAAATACAAATTGGCAACTCTGTGACTTATTATACGAGCTCTCCTTCATTTGCTTTGTGCATAATATTCCATAAAATCATGTTTTCTTCGTTATTGATGACGGAATATATATTTGTTCCTTGCAGGGGGAGTATAGAAACATATTTGCAATTATTATATTTAGGGTGCATGTATGGTTGAAATTTTTCTTGAGGGAAAATGAAAATTTTAGATTTTTTTAGTACTGAGCAAATGGAAGTTGAGCTCGCATGATACGTCATAGAGTTGCCAATTTGCGTTTGATTGATCACAACTTCAAAAATCCTAACTTCCTTATTTTTAATCGGAATTTGCTCAAACTTTCACTGACTTGTTTCTCTCATTTTTCTACTCCTATTAAAACTAACTTAATTTCAGGGTGGACTTCCCCTTTAAACTAATTCCACCAAATTTCTTCTTGTCTGTCAGATAAAAGCAGGTACTATCACCAGCAATAAAAGTCCTCAGTAACATTCTCATCTTGACCCTTTTAGAGGGATTGTCATTGTATCCATGTTTTATTGAAATAAAGTACATACGTTCATTGATATCTCTATACTTGATACACTTGGCACAGTAATTTATGCCAAAGCATTTGATGCTATCGATCATACCGTTTTAGTAACTAAGATGATAAATATGGGTGTCAGTCAATCTATCATTTCCGTAGTGTGTGACTTCCTGAGTAACAGATCCCAGTTGCAAAAGCAACATTTGTAAAAAGCAACATTTGTAAATCACTAAATTAGTGATTTACAAATGTTGCTGAAATGGCACCAGTGATCAGTACGCCAGTGTGAGGGAGCATAGCGAACTAGAGGGGTGAAGGTGACGGAAGTGACTACCTCCTTACTGCTTTTTGAAGTTTTGTTGTATCAAAAAATTACCTTCCTTAGCAAAACTATAGTATAAAAACAAGCAATATACTCTTTTCACACTTCACTTTACTACAAATATATTTGCTTGTACATTTTGAAGGATACTATGCGAGGGAGCGAAGATTTTTTAATATTTATTTGTCTAAACGCTGCACTCTTTGGCACTCCATCAGAGCCTAAATATGTGTTGCAGTCTTTAATCAGTATTTGCAATACATTTTGGGGAGAACTTTTTCACATTTTCCGGGGGGTCGACCCCCCTAACAAATGAAGGGGCGTGCCCCCCCCCCGTTACCCCCAGATCGCCGCCCCTGCTCTTACCTCTCCAGTTTCCCCCTCTTTTGTTTCCTTTTTTTTTTTACACTTTTTTTTTTTGGGGGGGGGGGGGGGGTTGCGCACGTTCTCCCCTGCCTACCACAGTTATGGTACTGATCGTTATAAAAGTACGATTGTTCCATATCTTACGGAAATTAAGCTTCCAAATTTTTAAGCAACAAAAAAGTTCGTAATAACAATGTGCACATGTACAAAGACTTTCGTGTTTGTTTTTTTGGCGCTTTATGCATGTTATAAACCCGTATTAAATCTTGTATCTATGTTTACTCCTCACCCCATACGGACAACATATGTCAAGAAATAATAAGTCATTAAGACGTTATCATCAATACCCCCATTACGCATTCATGCTTCGCCGACAAAAATAGAAGTGGTGGTGGTGGTTATTTTACCTGACAGCTAAGAAAGAAATAAATGCTTGTTGGTAGACAACCAGAAGACCGACGGCTTTAGGTCCTCTCCGAGGGACCGGACATTTTACATGTACGACTTTCAGTTTCTGGAAACCTTTAATAGTTATACATAATTATTTACATAATAATAGGCTATATTGTACTTTATTATTTATATGAATGTATACAGTACATTGGTTATTGAATGAGAACATAGTAACCCAAATCACATAATTGTCTAGATTATCATGATATATTTATGTCTTATGTAACACTCAGTCCAATTTTCATGCCAACTTTTCTTTTACATATCATTAGCAGTCATTGTTCACTGGATAGCACTGAATGCCCCTATCTTGAAACAGTGTGCCGAGACGCTTTCGAATAAATGTATCCTCCAGCAAAAAGCCTCCTTCGTTGTCTTCGTTGTCTGCACAGTCAGCCAAAAAGATGGAAAAAAGAGTTTCCTCTTCATTTAGAGTTTTTATGTAAGTAATCGGACTCCGAAAATATTGATCCATTTATAATTACAAACCTTCGATTATCTGAAGACTGAAAAGTGGACTTTACATAGTACTTAACATATCTAGATCTTTCTTCAGAATGAATTTTGTTGCAATATAATTTATGTAACTACCCCCTCTCCCGTCCATCTGAGCTTCATGAACAGAGGTGAAAGACACCTCTTTTTGTTTGAGATAATCCGTGATTAATTGTCTTAAACTATTATGTACCGATATTAATGTTTTCCTTAAACTTATTGCAGGTTTGGGAGTTTGGTTTGCAGTTTGTAATTTGTTGTCTTCGTTGTCTGCACAGTCAGCCGAAAAGATGGAAAAAAAGAGTTTTCTCTTCATTTAGAGTTTTTAATATGTAAGTAATTGGACTCAGAAAATATTGATCCATTTATAATTACAAACCTTCGATTATCTGAACTGAAAAGTGGACTTTACATATTACTTAACATATCTAGATCTTTCTTCAGAATGTATTTTGTTGCAATATAATTTATGTAACTACCCCCTCTCCCGTCCATCTGAGCTTCATGAACAGAGGTGAAAGACACCTCTTTTTTTTGGAGATAATCCGTGATTAATTGTCTTAAACTATTATGTACCGATATTAATGTTTTCCGTAAACTTATTGCAGGTTTGGGAGTTTGGTTTGCAGTTTGTAATTTTATTTTCGAATCTACATCTGAAGACAAATCCATGGGATGAGCACCCCCCCCCCCCCCCTGGCAATTATTGGTTTTTAGAAAGGGGCGCCCCCTTCGGCCTAACCCCCGTCTCTTCAGTCGCTCTTGATTCGAATCATTCACACTCACCAAAATACTGGTCGAGATACAATTATCTTATTTTTCGATTTATTTTTGTTTATTTAAAGTTTTTATTGACCAAATCAAAGAACAATCGCAATGGACAAGATGTAAACATTGTTTTGTGGCTCTTTTGTTACTTATTTGTAATTTATTTATGCATCAAAATCATCAAATGAAAAAATAGAAATGAAGAAGAATAAGAATAGTATTTTAATAATGTGATGATGATGATGGTAGTGGTAATGATGATGATGATGTTGATGTTGATGATGATGATGCATGATGAAATAATAATCAAAACATTTGCTCCAGGCTGTGTATCCTCAAAAGTATAGGGATGTAATTGGGGTTGAAATTGGGTTTTAGGATACATGTAGGTGTAGGGTTAGGGATAGCCATGTACTATGTAGGGTCTGGTCCAGTGTTCAATTGAAATTAGGATTTTGGTTATTGTAGGAAGTTGGCTACAGGAGCATAATTATGTCGTTGTCGTACAACTCACCCGAACATGCTGGTCGAACCCTGCATGATTATATGAAGATTGTATTAAACAACAACGCAAAACAATTAAAACAAAAAGCCCATTCGTACCTGTTTTTTTACCATTCTTTATTCATAAGCTTCATTTTATACACAAGACCATTAATATGCAATCATAATTATCTATATGTACACGCTCAATATCTTTATAACATTTTATGTATTTCAAGTTGACAAAATTGGATAAAATATGAGAGATGATGCTATATTCTGTAGGAATAATGGAATGATAACATCAAATAGTTATACAATGACAAAAACACTACATTTTATTGTCATAAAAACTACACTTTGTATGATAAATACACTGTATAAACTATGAATCTTTAAACTGTCAGTATAAATATGTTTGTCATGTTTGATTAATTATCGTACAGTGTATAATATGTACATGATCAAAGTCTACATTGTGCTCAATTATAACTTACAAGAATTGGCCTGTTGCCTGTACATAATGCATGTACCATGTGTCATAACCCTGATTTGTATTATATTACACCAAATTTCTTGTACATCATGATAGTTATACGTAACCATGGAATGTTGCAATATAACCCATTTCAAAATGGCAATCAAGATACATATATTTTGTATGAGCATGCACTCATATTAGCGCAAGAGGAAGAGAGATATAATTATATATAGAGAGAGAGAGATGGAGAGAGATAGAGAGAAAGGGTGGAAGGGAAGGGAGCACCAAATGAGTGTTTAAAAAAACTTTATTTTTCCCCAATGAAAATGTGTATCATAAATGAACATTATTTTTTACAAGCAACATGCCAAAACATAATGATACTTAAAGCAAAAAAAAAACCTTCACAGCACTTTAACTTTTGCTTACTATATTTTGCAACACATAGCGCATGGCTTTAAGCATATTCGATGACTAAATGTTATTACAAGCAAATACCTAACAATCGATCATAATTAATTTAATAACTGAAACAAACAAAAAAGCAATACAAAATTAATACAAATATGATAATCAACCATTCAAAAAATAAAGTACAAACATTTGCATTTAACAAAAATGAGGATGGAAAGGCACTGTTTAGCTGAAAGCAATAATTGTGGACCTGATTCAAAATGTGCACCATTTTTTCATTTGACTGAAGAGTATCTTTTGATATATCCTATAGATTGAAGAGCTTAATATCAAAAGGAGCTAAATCCACTTCTGATGAAAATTGAGTTATTGATATCAGAACAATGTTCACTTAAGTACCCGTCTTTCAACAAAATTATTTACCTAAATTTTGGGAGCAATTATGACAAAATGCACCTTCTAATATCAATTTCCCATGGACACCTGTACAAAATCTGGTAGACAATTTCCTTTTTCTCTGAAATTACAAAAATGGATTTAGCTCCTTTTGGAATTAAACTCTTCATATGTGCAACATGTGCTTGCACCAGACTTGGGACAATCCCCCTTTTACTCATCTACTTAGAAGCAAGAAAAACCTTAATGACATCTTCTTGGAGCGTCAGGGGAGAAAGAATGAGGAACCAGGAGCATTCAGTTTGGTTCCATGCAGAGAAAAGTAGAGAAATTTCCTGATGTTTTGAAGTTGCAAGGGGGGGGGGGGGGGGGGGGAGGGTAATGTAAGTATACATGTATGTCATGACATGCCCCCCCCCCCCCCTGCTGAAATTTATGATTATCTGAATTTAACATTATTTGCCATATTGTAGATGGCACCGATAATCAAGGTCGCGTTGCATAAAATTAATATTGATGGTATCATTTTGCCATCAATGGTAACTACCATGGAATACTTGATTTTGATTGGCTGTTGAACCAATGTTACCGTGGTAGTTACCATTGATGGTAGAGGTTAATGTTAAATTTTATGCAACAGGTCCCAGCTGATTCCACATGAAGCAGCATCTTTTGGATGAATGATCCCATAAATCTGACATTACCGTGCTCTGCAACTTATCTTTCTGATACCGGTAAACACAAAGTAAATTGTGTAGCTTTTCAGCTTCGTGTTAATTGTTTAATTAATTGGTTAACTATGACTTGTCTAGCTATGATTGTAAGAAAAACATAAACATACATGTAGACATAGCACATTATTACTACATGGTACTCAATTAGCTATATAGATATAAGTCCAATTAACAACACAATTGAAAGTAATTATAATTTTAGAGTAAAGAAGGATGCGGCATCAACTTTTTTTCTCCAATTAACTCTTTGCTTGCTTATTTTGACTAAGAGAACAAACAGGAGACTTTTGTCACACACACACACACAATGTAAATTTTTATACATGTAGTGTAACATATTCTTCAAATAATGTGGCAGTCTGGATTTTTGATCCATGGCGAGAGAATATGGTTATACATGTACAAGCATGTACATGTACCTGCACATGATGGTGTACATGTATACACTGGTGGTGTATACGGTGGTGTACATGTATACACCAAGGACAACAATGATCTGGAACCATCTACCAGGCTCAGCGGCAGGTCAATGCAAGAGTAACAACCTGCAGGTACTTCAAGGAGGCTGCTCTAGCTACCCTTCATCAGAATTATACAGCCTCCAGTTAGACTCTCACATAGCTTAAAGCCTGTCTGTACTAGGAGGGATTAGACCACCCAGTGTGCATGGTCACTGGCAGGTGGTTATCTCATAAAATCAGCTCCCAATTAACATAAGAAAAAGGGGACCATGGGGCACCAATAGTCACCGATTAGGCATTGTTTGCTATATAGAGGGCGCAAGTAGGTATAAGTAGTGCAGTGGGGCTTAAGATTACAGGCATGGTTTTTGTCTTGCACTGGACTTGTATATTTAACCGTAAATTGATATGTGCTTTATCCACACACCATTTCTACACTTCATGGTACTCCTTGCAGCTATTCACCTCACCTACCATCCCAGTTTAGCTTCCCGAGTGAGCTGCTAAAGGAAAAACTCCATCAAGTACACCATAATAAGCACATATGTACACCCCCTGTATTACATTGCAGATAGCAGTACTACGGGTACAGAGGTAAATACTGTAAAAAATAGGTACCATCGAAACTAATATCAAAACAAAACTTGACAGAAATCATCAAAACCAATGCCCTTCCTCCATTCCCCTGAACATCAAAAACCACACAATAAAAATAAAGCAAATTTATACTTGCTGCTTGCAGATATGATCTGTTTTTTAAATAACGCCATAAATATTAAATGTTCATGTCTCGTCCTATCAATGTCTTCATTTCAATTGCGATGAATTCATCCTGGACTACCAATCTCAAAATCTACAACATGATCACCTGTAAATCTCAGTAATGTTTGGTCAATGCTTTGGTTTCAAGAATGAAAATCAATGAAGTTTGGTCCAAATTTAAAGTTAAACGGGATTATTCTCAGACGAGCACAGTGGGATAGTACATATAAGCAGCGCAGGAAAATGAAGAATTCTTTGCAGGCTTCAAGACAAATATCCTACAATGCAGACAGTAGTAACTGGTGTACCGTGCACAATCATATATACTGTAACTGGTAATTGGTCGGCTTAGGGGCAGGTCACATATTGTCTGTTTGGAGTCACAAGGGCATTAAATCTGTGTTACAGTATTATGCCATGTGAGTTAACACTATTGTGACTCCAGACAGATTATATCACTGAAAATGATAACAATAACTATACACGTAATAAAGTTTATGCAAACAAAGGAATCAGATCTGAGATAAATGCTCATTAGCATAAAGAAAGAAAATATGTACATGTGCATGTACATTGTACCTTTTTGACAGAGATGGGTGTTATCGTTATCATCATTGGAGATATATGTGAACAGCCTTCCAGCATCAGGGACCTGTCCTCAAATATATAGTCTTCTGTTATAAAGTCTTTTGGTTAAATAGATGAAGCAAAGCAGTACATAGCAATGTGCCCCCATGGGCATCGATCTCCATATAGCTTCATTTCATAATACTTCTGCTTTCTTTCAAAACAGAGTCATCGAGTTCTCATTCTCAATTTTCAGTCAGTCACCGTGGTTTCAGTATCAGGAGTTGCTAGGTGGGGCTCCTCCGGCCGGGCCATGGCAAGAGTGCATCCTGGCCCGGGGGCTCATAGTGGCGTAGCCCCAAAGGTGTTCTCCCCGCTGTAGGCGACGTAGAGGAATCCGTCTGCGTCTCTGTGTTCCTGGTAGATGTGACCCATTGTGGCACTGTGCATGGATGGGTGGGAGAGAGACAAGAAGAGATTGACAGAGATGAACGTAAACGTACAGTAGTTATTAAAACTCTACAAAATACTTAACTAGTAATACTATAAAAAATATAAATATATAGGTATATATAGCTGCACTTTGTCATATAAGAAAGAGTACCGCCCTCCCCCCTCTCTCCTTCTTCATTCAAAGACACACGCATGGATAACTGCCCCCTCCTCCCCCCCCCCCCCCAAAATGCTTCTTCTCTCGGACAACTCTTCCCCTAGAACAACTGCCACCCCCCCCCCAAAAAAAAAAAAAAAAAAAAAAATTACTACGGTACTTCTCTTGGACAATTATTCCCCTAGGACAACTACATGTACCGCCTTACTGTTTTACCCTCAGAAATAAGTACCTAGGGGTTCAGTAGGGAGTAGGGGGTACGGGGGTGTCCAGATGGTACATGTAGGTGCCTTAGTATTGTACTTATTTTTCCCCTTCACATCATCAACCTTTACAAAAATGATGTAGAAAAATGGAGAAAGTGAAAACAAAATCCGCCCATTTATTTTGCAAATCTTCATGACTTTGTGATCATGAAAGAAAACCGGACCTGGGCTTAAGTATATAAATGTACATCTTATACCCACATACATGTACATCATACAATGTATGTGTATGTACCTTAAAGTCCCAAAACAATGCCTATTTATGTGCCATAGAAAAATACATGGAAGTGAGTACAATGAAATTGAAACAAATTATTTCCAATAGTTTCACAAAAATTTGCATATTAACTCTTCAATTATGTGATTTCCAGCATGTGACTAGCCAGGAAACGAGGATTACCTATCCACAAACCACAAAGAAAAGTCAGTGATACTTTGTGTACAAAATATATCCTATCGACGTCGTATCAAATGACCAATCAGTGTACATGTAATATGAAGATCTGTGTCAGACTGTATCAGCCAGCAGAGTTGCCAAAATTTAATCACCTAATTCATGGCACATGATTTGATGCTAAAGATAACCAGCAAGAACTCATTAAACTTGTATACGTTTTGGTTCCTCTTTTTAAGATTCAACCATTTTTCTTAAAATTAAGATTTTGCTTACACCATTCAACACTAACTGGCGCCCACAACACATGGCCGCCCCAAATCTCAGGTCTGGACCCCTTAACTTTAAAAATAAGCACATGGGGCACATGTATACAGACTCTAAAAACTCTAAAAGCCAGACCCCCTTTGTTACAGTTGTATTTATAAAGTTCAAAATGCAAAAAAATGTACTTTTTCATGGCTGGTTAACTTTGATGTATACACATACAGTAGGAAGACACAAAACTATTGTCATGAGTCAATTGAAGACAAATTACTGCTAAAGCTTGGTATGATTGTAACAAAGCATAGCTTTGACAACATTTAAGCCTACTTGTTTGCTTATCATTCTCAATCTAAAGTAATATTTGATATTACCATGACTACAATCAGTCTTGTTCCTCTTTCTGACTCATATCAAAATGTAACTTTTATCCTGTCACTGATCCACAAGTACACTGCATGTCTCTTTAAAAACGTTTCTTCTTGACTCCTTCTGAGAGGCACATACATGTACACATGGATTTTATTTTTTAATTCTTATCCCTTTTTGTATAATCTCTTTTCAATAGATGTATACTGTTTATTAATTTTATTAGATTGTATGATATACATGTATCATAACAATTAACTGCTGATGACTACAATACATGTACAGTACTATGCACAATCTACATGTACTCGTCAGTTAATTGATTTTTTAAAACTAAGTTTACTTCAGGTATACAAAGTTTTGGTTTAGCAATAAAATCTATACTTTGAACATTTATAGTTATTTATATGTGGCTGTTGTAATACAGCATTTAGCACACACATTGTACATGAAGCAAGCCTATATAAACATTAATTTATAGCCTTGTGATGTATTACTCTGCATAGTTTTAATGCCACCATATAGGCTACATAACATTGTGTGTCAATTATGAATTTACAATATTTTGAGGAGTCAGATCATTCATTGTCTTTGTTTTTTTGTTCATTTTTTCTTTGTTGCAACTTTATCATAAAAGAAGGCCATGAATATCACATTTCTGTTACAGGTATATCTAGTTATCTACCTATATTAATTTAATAGTGTAGTATACCACTGTACAAATATGTTTTGCAAGTACATGTTCAACCAGACAAATCAGGAACTAACTCCAAAAAAAGTCCAAGAGTTCATGACATCTGAAGAGTGTTCGGTTGGGTGTAACTGCACAGAACTGCATGATACTAGGGAAATTCCCATGCTGACTCACTAATGTGTGACTCAAATTGCCCAATTCTTAGAGTGAATAGCTTGTTTTCATTCAGACTACATGTGATCATGATTATGTTTCATTGTGATATGAGTCATTGTTGGGATATTTACTTCTGATTCTGCCATTCTTTATCTCTTTTATTCATTTTCTATGTAAATGTACATGTCTCATGTTTTTCTCTCTCTCCCACTCTCTTTACCTACCTACATGTAGATCTCTAAAGTTATTAGTGTAAAGTATCATTTTCAAAGACTACAGGTTGTACATTGTACTTTAAGTCAAATTATCATGTTTAGACTTCCAAATTTTTCGAGCATTGCAACCTACATCAGTTAGATATAATTTCTGTGTACTTTTGTTTTTCTTCATTTACATATTATGGAGGATTTGTTAAAATGTATTGAGTATAAAGAGGCAACCCCCCTCCCTCCCTCGATCCCTCTGTTCCTATCCATTTTTTCTTCTCCAGTCTTGCTCTCCATACAGTAAGATACATTGTTCATGCAGGCCTTCATCAATCATGAAATATTGATGTACTGTATAATCAACAAGACAAATATGGTGTGTTTGTGTTTTATCAATTGTAATACTACCGGTACTTCAGGCCTCTCTACATACAATACATACACTGTATTGCTAACACATGTATTGCTAACATATGTTTTGCTTGTTTGTCTCACTGTTTCTATCAACTTAGTTTTGCTTCTAGTTTCAACTCACTGGTATCGAATCATGAGAGTTATCATCATTAATTGAATTTTTTTATTTTTTTTTAAATGGTGATGCCAATTAGTTTCTCCCATGATCATGGCCAGCGCTCAAAATACACGGGGGCGATGGGCGATTCGCCCCCGTGAGCTCCATAATCGCCCCCATCAGGTTGTCCATGGGGGCGATTGCAAAATTAAAAATCGCCCCCGTGGAATTATAAAATAAAGATTTTCAGCGAATTGAATAATATTGAAAAGGATGCAATTCAAAGTTGTACTCGATAATTCTCACTTAACATATTTTCTCTCTCTCTCTCTCTCTCTCTCTCTCTCCCTGTCTTGCATAAAGAAAATATGAAAATAATATTTTGCCTTGATTAAGAAAAATTGAAAATTTCATCAGCATTAAACAGGGAGAAGGAAAGGGGAGGAAATTAATCAAAACAAACATTGAAGAATCCAATTCAGTGTTCTTTCGTGATGCATAAGAATGAAAGTACATTAAAAGGTGAAATAATAAATTGAAGTGCGATGATAAATCAATTCTTTGACGTTGATTGATTGAATAAAATTTTTTTTTTTACTTCTTCCTCAATTTTCCTTCCCTTTATCTCCTCTTTTCCTTTTTTCTTTCCATTTCCTTCCTTCCTTCTCTCTTATTTTGTTTTATTGGGGGGAGGCAACAGCCTGGGAGGCAAGGCCCTTTCGCCTCCCCCCCCCCCCCCCGATCTCCTTCTTCCCCCTTTTCTTTTCTTCTTCCTCTTCTTTCTTTCCCTTTCTCTCCTCTTTCCCTTTCCCTCTTTTCCTTGTCTCTCTCTGTCTCTCTCTGTCTCTCTCTTTTGCGGAAGGGGGGGGGGGCAAGGCCCGCTCACCCTCGCTGGATCCGCGCCTGCATCTACCTTAAACGTTAGACCCTAATAATGGATCTAGAAGATTGATTGACCTGGTCTCAGTGACGGGTAAACTTTTTTTTCTCAATTACTTGGTCTAACCATGAAAGCCATCTAATTTTACTTTAGATTTTCAAACAGTAACAGTTACGACCTAAATTAGGCCTAAGGCCAAGAGCTGTACTCTACATTTTAATAACAAATTAATGTTAACGTTAGACTTAACTTAAACTGTTGTTTCTCTGTGATACAAGAGGGAAAGGAACGCTTCTTTTTTCAAAAAAAAGAAAGAAGAAAATTCCCCTTTTTGTCCCCCTTCTTTTTTCCCAGGGGGGAGGGGGCGGCCCCCCACCCCCCTAGATCCGCCACTGATCACGGGGATAAAAGTATACAGCTATGTAACAAGTAAATTTCTAAGAGGGAGAATGCCGACTTAAATAAATGATAATGATAAAATACCAAGGAATTTAGGAGTTTCATGGGTACCAATCCAATGGAAATTTGTATTAAATGTCCCCGTCAGCACTAAAAGAGCCCCCCTGAGAAGGTTCACGGGGGCTATTTTTTTTTGGAAGAGCCCCCGTGGACAAAAATTGAATTTGAGCCCTGATCATGGCACTCATATACGTGTACAAGTCTATTTTGTATAACTTCTTACATGACAAATATTTTACCTACTTTTTGGCATTTAAGCCATTAGGTGTAGCAAGGATTTTAACAAAATAATATTAGCATGGGAAAAAAAAAAATCTCTATTACATGTACATATATGTACTAACGTAGTATACAATAATTTCAATCTTAGAGCCCCCACATTTGTTGCCGAGTATATTTGAAAAATAAGAAGTAAAGTGGGAAGTGAATTCTTATCTTAAAGACATATAAGCATTTATATTTGAGTGTTTTTTTTTACTAACTGTAGTGGGGCATACACATTTACATTGTAGCTACTTGTATTAAAAAGGAGTGCGTACTGCTTCACCATGTACATGTACCTCGATAATCTATTTCTTTTTTCTTCTTTTCTAAAATTGTCATATAATCTTAAAGGAACTATACTATATGGATATTCTAATCAGTTCTATTTCTTTTTACTTCTATTAACCCTTATTCTACCATCAGAGCAATATTGCACAGATACTTTCAAGCACTAATCACACTTGTCTAGTAACATAGGCCTTTATATATTTATATAAGCATTTACAGTTTAATGAAAAAAAAAAATGTAAGCCTAAAGCTTTATCTGCTATCACTAATCTGGTTGCACATCGGTATTCAGTAACAAATTAATGAATGAGTCACTGGTCAACACTACAGCTAATTTGTATAATGTACAGGTAACAGGCTTGATCTAATTATCAGAATGGGGGAGGAGAGGGGGTAGGTGCATGGCAAGGATGAGATTGACTTGAAGCATACATGCACTTAAAGGAGACATCAGGGCCCCGTCTTACAAAGAGTTGATATTAATCACAACTTATCTATGTACATTGTACATAAGAGATAGGAGACTGCATACATGTACTTTAGATTGATTTGTATCAATCACAACTTTTTGTAAAATGAGGCCCTGGAGGTAACTCCTTTACAACTGATTTTTCATATATAACTCCCCGTAGATATTATAACTGATTAAACTGAAGTTACTGAACCACTCGATTAGTAGAGGACTCAGACAATGGGTTAGTCCCTTTATAACAGAGATGTAAAGTCTACTCTAATGTGCTCCAGAATATTCAAGGAGGTGTTGTGGTGTAGTGGTTCATTCACTTGACTCTCTCAATTCAAGGGTTGAAGGTTTTAATCACATCCCGGGACTAACGTCCTATGGGAAGACATTAAACCACTTTTGCCACTCTCCACCCATGTGTTAGGATGCAAAAATCATTGTGAGCATCTGTTAAATGGCGCCTGGCTAGAATGCTCCCTAGTGAGTCGAGAATGTGCATACCGGTACGTTGTGTGCGAGCAACCCTAAATCAAAAGACAGGTGTAATGATATATCTGTAAAGCGCTAAGACTATTTAAAGAGACATCGTCAAAGTATTATGGACCATATAAACCCACAATATTATTATTATCATTTATAACCAACCTCTGACAGACAAGATGGGATTCTATCCCTTGCTAACTACCTTGATTGTGGGAGTACTTTGCCGACAAATAAAAAGATGGCTTTCTCGGCAGGCAACTGTATCCTCTTCCTGATGATCCACATGAACTGAGCCACCGTGATGTCGGCAGGAATCAGGAATTTCCTCTTGTCGATGTCCGGGACCTGGGACTTTGGCGCTTTCTGGACGATGACGGGTATCCTCTCGGGATACTTGACTCGGATCTTGGAGGACTCTGACGTCCTGTGGTCTGGATTAGGAAGAAAAACAACTTTAGAATCCTTTGATCGATCACCACAAAAGCTGACCAGACGTCCCTTGATCGAACAATGATTCGTAATGATGCTAAATCAAAAGTCAAGACTTACACAATGTATGTTTCTTTACTTACTTTACTTTACTTTAATCCATTAATGTTGGTAGGACAGGGCCTGTTCATTGATCGATTAAGTTCCTTTACGTCAATACTTAAGTTTGTTGTGATTTCATGTCGAGGCGTGTGTGTGTGTGGCCTATTTTAACTCTAATCTTAAACTTTGCTGTAACCCTTACCCTTCACGTATGCTTCAATCGCATATGTACATAACCCTTTTGGTAGGTGTAGTATTCTAAGATACCATAGAATGCGGAATCAGAAATGAGCTGCTAGATTCAGCAGCATAAGAATACACGTGAAGAATGGAAGCTGAATAAAGTACCATGTTGAGTTCAAACTTGATTCATCTGCTTGTCTTATTCGAGTTATCTCACATACACATCTAACAGTAGCAACCATGTTAGTATGTTACACTGGCGACGAGGATGCTTGTAGACAAAACGGATTGTGAAATGCTCTAGTTTGATTTTTACTAGCTGACTGCTAACTTTTCGCCATGGCATCGCAAGGCATGCCGAGCTTACCGTGTTTCGACCCAACGTCGGATCCCACGTCTCTTCTCGTGCGGTGGGAACGTTGGCTACGCAGATTCGAGGGAGCTATGGTCGGGTTTGGCATAACTGATTTCAAGCGCCAGAAAGCTCTTTTACTTCATTTTGGAGGAGAAGCACTCCAAGATATATTTGAGACTCTCGACACTGATAACCAGCAGCAGCGAACGGTGGATTCTCAGCAAACAGACCCGCCAAGTCAGTCTCAACTAGATGAACGTGAGTACACAGCAGCTAAATGTGCCCTCACAAACTATTTCACTCCGAAGAAGAACATTCTATATGAAAGCATTGTATTTAGGCGTACAACCCAGCAAGCCGATGAGTCAGTCGATCAGTATTGCACACGCCTTAGGCAGATAGCAACCAAATGTGAATTTGGTAACCTTGACAGAGAGCTCAAAACTCAGATCATCGAAGGCTGTAATTCTGACCAGCTAAGACGCAAAGCCCTGGAGAGGGATATGTCCTTGACCGATCTCCTTGAACTTGCTAGATCATTATCGCTATCTGCTTCCAGAGCTGCAGAAGTCGGGCGTGAAAGATCTGGTAGTGCTAGTGTCAACAAAGTCTTCACACGCCATGAGCGCACACCAAATCGCAGACAAACTTTCAAGACTTCTCAGTCCAGACATCTGTCTAATAATGCAAAGCAGTGTTTCTACTGTGGAGGCGAGTATCCCCATCAGAATGAATGCCCAGCTAGAGGACAGAAATGTCGTAATTGTGGGATACTTGATCACTTTGCAAAAGTTTGTAAGTCACGGAAGCAAGCCCATAACTCCAAGTCTGTCAGAGGTCAAGTTAGCGAATTGACCACGAGTAATGCTGCAGGCGATACAGAGGAATATGGGAGAGACTGCGAATATACTTTTGGCATCAAGCAAGTGAAAGGAAAACGACCCCGTGTCTCCATGACACTTGAAGACACCGACATTAGTATGCTCGTCGACACAGGGTCAACCGTCAATGTAATAACGGACACCTGTTATCAGCGGCTGACAAAGCACCCAACACTAGACCAGAGTAATAAAGTACGTGTTTATGCGTACGGCAGCAAGACTCCTCTCAAGGTTCGTGGAACTTTCGAAACCGAATTGACCTTCAGAGACAACACCGCTCAAACAACCTTCTACGTGGTCTACGGAGATTCTGATAATCTGTTGAGTTGTGACACTTCAGAATCGCTAGGCATCGTCAAGCTCACATATGCCGTAACAGCTGACGACATGTCATCAAGCTATGCCGACCTCTTCAACGGGCTAGGAAAACTCAAGGACGTGAAGTGTAAACTTCACATTGACGAAACTGTAAAGCCAGTAGTCCAGCCCCATCGCAGGATTCCATTCCACGTTCGCAAACAGACAGAAAAGGAACTGCAGCGTCTCCTTGATTTGGATATCATTGAACGGGTTGGTGGTGAGCCAACACCTTGGGTTTCGCCGATTCTAATTGTCAAAAAACCCAAGAGTCCAAATCAGATCCGCATCTGCGTGGATATGCGTGCTCCTAACAAAGCTATTCAGAGAGAACGCCATTTGACCCCCACTATCGACGAGATCATCGCGAAAGTAAATGGAGCTCGACACTTCGCGAAGTTGGATCTCAACGCTGGTTACCACCAGATAGAGCTCGCTGAAGAGTCGCGTTATGTAACTGTCTTTTCTACTCATGTTGGCCTGTTCAGATATAAGCGACTCAACTTCGGAGTCAATTCCGCAGCAGAGGTGTTTCAGCAGATGATACAAACCACCCTCAGTGGTCTTGATGGAGTTCTGAATATCAGCGACGATATTCTAGTGTATGGCCGTACACCAGAGGAACTCAACGACAGGCTTGAACAATGCCTGAAGCGACTGCAAGACCATCACCTCACTCTCAACAAGAACAAATGCGAATTCCGCAAGGAAAGGATGGAATTTTTCGGCCATGTTCTGAGCGCTGAAGGAGTATCACCTGACCCCAAGAAAGTACAGGCCATCATCAATGCGTCGAATCCATCAAACGTTCAGGAGGTGCGCAGTCTTCTGGGACTAATTAACTACTGCGGACGATTCATCCCCGATCTTGCGACGCTGTCTGCTCCTCTACGCAATCTTACGAGAGAGGAGGTAGAGTGGCAGTGGACAGGAGATCACCAGAAAGCCATGACTAACGTGAAACAGTGCCTTGCAGCAGGATGCACGAATGCGTTCTACGACCCAGACAAAAATACTCAACTACTCGTAGATGCCAGCCCAGTTGGCATCGGTGCTGTGCTGGCACAGAAAAGCAGAGATGGAGAGCCCTCCGTAGTCGCATTAGCCAGCAGATCTCTTACGCCAGTAGAACAGCGGTATTCACAGATAGAGAGGGAGGCCCTGGCGATAACCTGGGGCATTCAGCACTTCCATCTCTATCTTTACGGAAACACATTCGAAGCTGTCACCGACCACAAGCCTCTGGTGACTATATTTAACAACGCTCATAGCAAGCCTCCGACGCGAATTGAGAGATGGATCCTCAAAATTCAAGAATACGACTTCACTGTCGTGTATGAGCCTGGAAAGTCTAACCCAGCAGACTACCTGTCCCGCCATCCGCTGCCGACTACTGAGCGCACAAGCCGCGAAGAGAAGGCGGCAGAGCAACATATCAACTTCGTGAGCGTGAATGCAGTACCAAAGTCAATGAAGCTAAGCGAAATCCAAGATGCGACTAAACAAGACGTCGCGTTGAGTCTTTGTATGCAAGCTCTCAGATCGCGAAATTGGAAAGAAGTGATAGAAACCACTTCATCTTCAGATGTAGCGAGATGCCTTCAGAGTTTCTACAATGTTCGCGACCAGTTGTCAATCGCACCCAGTGATGATTTTGTGTTACGCGGAAATTGCATTGTCATCCCACAATCCCTATGTGATCGCGTAATTGAGATTGCACATGAAGGCCATCAAGGCGTCGTGAAAACCAAGCAACTTCTGAGAGAAAAAGTGTGGTTTCCTGGAATTGATCGCATAGTTGAGCGTAAAATAAGTCAGTGTTTACCATGCCAGGCCACGACAGTAGGGCCAAGTCCTCGTGCACCACTTCAAATGTCTGACCTGCCGAATGGTCCTTGGGAAGAAGTAAGTGTAGATTTCGCTGATTTGCCCTCTGGAGATCATCTTTTAGTGATTATTGATGATTATAGTCGATACCCAGTTGTAGAAGTCGTATCGTCGACGTCAGGGAAAGCTACAATTCCAAAGCTCGATAAAGTTTTCTCATTGTTTGGAGTCCCGCAGATTGTAAAATCCGATAATGGTCCGCCATTCAACGGCGATGAGTTTAAGCAGTTCGCAGAATACCTAGGCTTCACCCATCGCAAGATAACGCCGCGATGGCCACGTGCAAATGGTGAGGTAGAGCGGTTTATGCGCACGTTGAAGAAAGTCCTCCGCACTGCACATGCCGAATCCAAATCGTGGAGGCAAGAGCTACATCGATTTCTTCGCAACTATCGCGCAACACCACACACAACCACAGCACAACCTCCGGCAACAATAATGTTCTCGAGACCTATGCGCACACGCCTGCCAGAGATATCACGTGAAGGAAGCGACTCAGAGCTACGCGAACGCGACAAAGCAAAGAAAAACACCATGAAAGCTGATGCTGAACGCCACATGTCGTTCAGACGTGTTCCCCTCTGTATAGGAGACACGGTTCTAGTGAAGCGTGAAGGGTATGTTACTAAAACAATGACACCCTATGAGCTAGAGCCATTGGTAGTCACCGATGTCAAAGGCTCGATGGTCACAGCAAGTCGTGGATCACAAAAGATAACACGCAACACGTCTTTCTTCAAAGCCTTGAAGGAATACCTCCCAGCTGAACCAGTTTTTGTAGAAACCGAACAAGAGCAAACAGAACAATTCAGTGCTCCTGATGACTTGTCAGATGACAATGAACAAACCAATCCGACTACCCCTAACGTTGAGAGGTATTCGAGCCGTACTCGAAACCCTCCAGCTTACTTGAAAGACTACGTAACCAAAGTTAAGGTCAAGAAGTAGCGTGATACATGTTAAGACTACATGTTAAGACTAACATTCATCAAAAGTGTTAAGTAATGATACGACATCATCCATCTTATTTTGTTAATCATTTATGTGTAATGTGTATGCAACAACAGTCTGTAATAAAACAGAGATATTCAATAGTTTTAAGTTATAAATATGTACTCTTGATGTTTTACTACTTTGCAGCACGAAAGCCTGTACGGTACTTACACACTATACAAACTAAAGGAAACGTTTTCGTTTTAAAGCATATAATAGCAAGTCAGCTATTGTCACAGTCCTAGTCTTTGCTGTTTTAGTTTTTAGTTTTGACAAATCATTGCATGCCTTTTGGGCGTACTGACAAACTACAACAGTATGTGTAAGTGATCTTATAATAATAAGCTGTTTACATTGTATTCAATTGTTTAGCCATTTTATAATAATAGGCTGTTTACATTGTATTCAATAGTTTAGCCATTTTAGTGTTTAGTTATTCAAAATGTTTAACTTTTGACTCGTGTTTTCAAACACAATCCATGTTTGTTTTCAGGGCTGCATGCTGTTGTAAAGTTTTAAAGTTATACCATTCAAAGTCGTTCAGGGTTGATAAGGAAAACTTTGTATTTGAAGAAACTTACTCTGAAAGTAAGTCTCCAAAGTGTTCGATCCTTAGTGTATATAAGTGTACATAGTTTCACACATTCAATTAGGGCGATCATGAGAAATACGCCTGATAGTCGTTGCCACACATACAAATGTTACATAGGAAAGAAAACAGTTCACACAGCAAGTGAAAACATTGTTCTGGTTAAATTTAAAGAAGATTTAATTTCAGTTTTATGTCACAATATGCTTTCTCATTGTAATGCATGTTTTCAAATAACATGGGGAGGGATGTAGTATTCTAAGATACCATAGAATGCGGAATCAGAAATGAGCTGCTAGATTCAGCAGCATAAGAATACACGTGAAGAATGGAAGCTGAATAAAGTACCATGTTGAGTTCAAACTTGATTCATCTGCTTGTCTTATTCGAGTTATCTCACATACACATCTAACAGTAGCAACCATGTTAGTATGTTACAGTAGGGTGTTCTAAAGTGAGCTGGAAGAAAAGTACAATGAATATGTTATCATAAAATGTTATCATCAAATGGCATCATAGTATGTACATGTACATTGTAGTATGTCTAAATGCAGTGCTTTGTTTACAAGGAATATCAATAATATATTTTAACACGTAAAGTTTGATCATGATGGTAGTAATTAATATATTTAAATATGTATTTTCTTTAGTAGACTAAAAGAAACAGTCCATTTCATTTTGGAATATCATATATTCCGCTGAGAATATATAATATGTTGATGTCTGGCTCCACTGAATCCTGTTGGAGGGATCCTTAAAAAAAGGCTTAAATTAACTTAAAACTCCTCCTAATAATAATATTATGTTGTTGCTGTATTATATTCTCCAAACATTATTTTATTGCATAGATCTAGATCTAGATGGATTTGCCAGGACCAGACATGCAATATCTCCATACTCATGATCATGATGTAGGCTACATCATGTAGATAGAGCACATCCACACAACTGAATGTTGTAAACTTCTATTTAAAAAAAAAATCTTCATTATCTGTACTACTGCAGTGTATGTATATTATTAAGACGATCTAGTTTACTTTAGAAAATCAGTCACTAATGAACGTGGCGTACAAACAAAGTGAATATGTTTCATCATTATTATCATGCTTAAAACAATAAACCAAAATTGTTATTCAATGACAACGACATGGACAAAGCTCAATTCACCTTCCGAATGCTCCTCTTTGAATTCCCACTTCATTTTCAGTTTTTGCACGGAAATCCCCTGTTCAAAAAGCAAGCGATCACCGATCAGACACACGAATGATCCCGGCTAGAAGATATTGCTTAATTTCACTATCAATATAACAGAAATGACGCAAATTTTCCGCTAGTATCAACCAAATATTGAAATAAGATTGCCTCAGCTCAGTTCGGGTCAGAATTCTCTGTTGTGTTTACAATAATTCATTGCACAATACAGCTGTACTGAGAGATCCACTTCCGTGTCAGCGTCATCTTGTGATAGCGTCATTGTTTATTTCGGCGCGTCGCACGTATGACTTGTGAATATTCATATATAGCTAATAAATATTCATTACTTCGTCTACTTCTCCATTTCAGCCCGTTTCAATTTCTTCTTTTCAATGTTGATATAATTATGTTTGTTTTGTTTTTACATCTAATAATAATCTGACGACATCTAGACAATTGGGTTCACTAAAATAAAAATGAATCAATATTTTGCAATTTCACCTCTTTTTGAGCCCCTGCTATATCCATGTAGACGTACAAGTGAGATTGAATCATAGTTTGTGTTGAAATTGACCCAATGGCATTTGTATATACATAAAATTATCAAAACAAAATCCTCTCATCTCAAATTTTCAACGAATCCAGACGAGAATTAGTATTCATGTTGGCTTTTGTTATTGCCAGCCAAAATTATTGAATGCAAGTATTTTAACAATGTCCGACCGAGTAATAACATAATTTGTGTGAACTTTGCAGTTTGAATCATGATTGAGTTTATGTTTTGTTTTTGGGGTTAATTATACGTTTAAAACAAATCTCATTCGCATGCTCTTCAATGACAGCAACAGCACTATAGTAGATGGATCACAAAAGTGAATGGCTGGGTTACGTACGGACCATTGACGCTTGTTAGTTATTTTAATATATACTTCATGCCACGGTAGTGTGTTGTTGTTTCTAAATTCTAATTGATTCAATATTTGCATTTTAGTTCCATCATTCTCAACTAGGATAAATGCAATGACATTATTTTTAATGTAGACTATACTAGAGTAATTAAGGCCCGTGTCAAATTTTCAACTATTTTCAATGATAATAATACATTGCCGATTCAACTTTAACTTGCCAGAAAGAGTAGGTAGTATTGGTAATTCGTTTTATTACAATGGCATAAAAAAATGGAATTCCCTTCCTAATGACATAAAGAAAATAGAAAACTTTGCTCATTTTAAGAGGAAATTAAAGAAACACCTAACATTTGAGAGTCAGAGAAGAGAAGCGAATGACATGTTATATGATTTTAATTTTATTCTTCTGCCGGTTCATACCTTTTCATTTTGTGTATACTTATGTTTTTTGTATACGTTATAGAAATTGTACATCATTATTTTCCTCTTCCTCCTCCTACTCTTTTTCTCATTCTCCTTCTTGTATTCTTTTGCATATTATCATTTATATCATCATTTTAATGTTGTTATTATTTTTATTATCATTATTATCTTTAATAAGTTTTTCTTTTTTTTGCTTTTTCTTATCGGTCTGTAAATATTACTATTTTAACTAATTAATTTATTGTGTACATGTCTGTCGGGCCGGACCCCACTGGAAATCAGCTCTCGAGCTTTCGTGGGTTTTCCTCATTCAAGCTGACTTAATTTTAAACTGTTAGTTGTATATTGTTGTATGTTGGAAGCTTGGCGAATCAAAAATCAATCAATCAATCAATCAACTATAAATCTAAACGAGTCTAGTTTGCTATATACACGAAGAGGTAAATGTTTAAACATTTGATCATTTCAAAAGAAAGATCATAGGATATGCAAAACTTGTGTAACAAACACTTCATGCAAATATTATATCTCACTTTATTTATGCTAAATTTCTTTCCCCCCTATTTTTCCCTTTAAAATCCCACATTTAAGGAATAACTGACAGGATAAGTGGGCTATAAAAATAATAATGAAAAAAATAATAATAATACGAAGTCTTAGAACCACCCAATTAAAGACAGGGACCATGTGAGGAGGAAGGGGGTTGGGGGGGGGGGGTATGGCCAAAAGATCAGTGTTTCACACTCAAATATATATATTTTTGCATTCGGCCTAAATTTTACAAGATGAAAAAAAAAATACTAAGCCCTCGATCTGAATTGGGGGGGTAATGTAGATGGCTTCTCTAACATAGGTTAAGATATTAAGTGGCACAAAATACGGAAGAATAACATATTTTTATGGAACAATCCTGCTCCTAAAGTAAACAATCAATTGCATTCAGTAAGACATGAAGAGTGATGTGAAAATGGTTAAAAGGAGAGGCAACTTGAAAAATGAATATTAAGTAGCAATGACGTCATGATGAATATTCATATTCAAATACCTTAGCAGCCGACAAGCGTCAAAATGGCGGTTTTGGAGCTCTTTTCGAGCCCCATTCAGTCAAGGTATAATGCCAGTTATTGCACCAAAGCCACCGTATTTGCCATTTTAGCTTTCTTATTTACAGTCATACCACCTTTCTTGATCGCATATAGAAGTGAAGGTGAGTGAAATGTTTTTTTATTGTACGTTTTTAAATCTCAAGTTTCAATGTGTAGACCCACTCGTCCATTTTTGTGTCATGACTTTGTGATCGTGTGTGTGACTGTGAATTTATGCGGCATCAATGAAAAAAAAATAAGAATGAGAATTAAAAAATAGTCATGCACAGTTCATGCATGAGTGTGTTTGTGTAATTGGGATTCAAGGGTGGAAGTCCACTCTTATAATTACCTGGTATTAATAAAAATAGAATACAAGAAACAAATTTTACAGCCTAGAAGTCTAGATCTAGACAGGGCAGGATGTCTGAACGATTTTTCAATTTTCCCTTTTGGATTGTTTTTCATCATTATGAATTAGATCTATGGTTGAATAATTGAAAAATAATAAAAAACACCCATAAGAACACATTTCAAATTTCAAGACTCACCGATGTCTCTATATGAAAAGATATGGTCCCCCAAAATCTAGGTAACATGGGTGTAGACTAAATCCTTACGTAATACAACTCCAGCAAAGCATAGAGAGTCGTAGACAGCAATAACCATCTGATTTGGGTCATTTCTTTAATAAAACTGACATTTGTTGTCATTCCCCAATACAGATGGCAACCCAGAGATCTCGTACCGTGGGGGTAGCTATAGCCCACAATGGCAGCTTTTTGTGTCAAAACATTTTCTCCCCGATTTTCTTTATTTAGATCTAATTTTCTGATTTCTAAATCAGATGTAAATTAGGTCGGTATGTCATTTGTCCTAATTACAGTTATCAAAATTTGATAACTTAATATTAAATACGTAATTTACGGACTTACTTATATGAATTATCCAATTTGTATCTCAGATCCGCGAAGCAGTACGTTCATGCATTCGAAATATTACCCGGCGGCCGATATATTTCCGGGTCCACCTACCAAAACATAGCCAAATGGCCAATCAGAGCACTCGTTTCGTGGGAGTTCGTTGGTCAAGCTGGGCCGACTCGTACGTAGCTACGGTAGCTATTGGACGTTCGAAAAGAAAAAATGAATATTCATCAACTAAAACCAAGACGGATAATGTTGACGACGAGACTTTCTCGGATTAATCATTAATTTAGGATCTAAATGAGCAAGCTATCGTAAGTCAAATAAGCTATATATATGTTATTTTTAATTTGTGTTGTAATTGCAGCAGTTATGAGGATGTAAAGAGTGAAAATCTCGTTGCATATCTCATTCATCGCGGTCCGGTCGAACCGAACCATTTGTTCCGTACAGTGCCTCACAGAAAGAGGTCCCCAGACTTCAGTCTCTATAATCGGAGGTCTAGTGGAGCCAGACGTAGTCTCAGTGGAACAACCGACGATTAGAGAGACTGAAGTTTTCGGTCTAAGAGAGTCGTAGACCGAAAGCTTCAGTCTCTATAATCGTCAGCTGTTCCACTGAGACTACGTCTGGCTCCACTAGACCTCCGGTTATAGAGACTGAACGATCGCCTATACCATCGTATGTTGAAGATATCACGGCTAGATTTTAGCCGCTAGGCCCCTCCCACAAACATGACAAACTTGCCACGGCCGTATTGTTATGCCCCCAAAATCCCCCAAAATGTCATTTTACCTCGTCCATATCCAATTTTAAATTAGGCCTAGGCTATAATACATCAGTTCCACTTACTAACTTGATTGAAATAATCCGTTTAATGGTCCCTTTTAAGGAAATTATGGGTCAAAATTGACATCCATGTTGAAAATCTTGCAAGCCGTGTTAAACTCTCGCTGCCGTCAATCTCATCCCTTCTAGTCTACGCCGAAGGCAAAATGATTATGAAGGAAAAACTGTGATAACGCCATTACGAACGTGTAGATGGCGCACAGTTTTTGGTACTTTGGGAGTTTTGGAGTTTGGTACAGTGGTGTTTGAAATGTTGAGAATCAAAAGCACAGCTTTTACTACACAGCCAGGATAGTGATGCTCCTATGTGTGCGTAATACCTATTGTGCAGGGGGGGATGAATGAATAGATCATCCCCCCCTGAACAATGGGTATTACGTAAGGATTTACGCCCATGATAGGGAATATTCATCCAATTTTTGTCCAGAATGGTTTTTTTACCGGTACACGCCGACTTATAATTTTTGCTCAACAGCTGCATTAGGCAATATGCAAAAAGTGTGGGAAGGGTATTTTCAAACTGAAATCGTATGTGATCCCTTGGGGCTAGCGAAAAAATAAGCACATCAACATGTTCCTTACGACTTGAACTAAATCCCTTGGGGATCGATTCTCAAAAGCGGGAAATCTCTGAGTTACCATATTGGGAACAACATTTAAATTGCTGTTTTGACCAAGATATAAGAAATCTGAAATGACACCCCTTTGGAAATATGGAGATTAATCTGCTCTTTCATATGACACCTCATTTATTGAGTATCTTCTCAGGATCACAACAAATAAAGGTTTGAATTTCAATTTATTTTTCAAAACGTTGACCAATTTTGCATGGTCGCCCAATGCACATAGACTGCATAGGGATGTGTGCAATGTCTATATCATCCAACCACATTAACTTTTGCATCCTACCGGTTACCCATTTAGCACCTGGGTGGAGAGTGGCAAATGTTCATCAAGGCATTTCTCATGCCTTTATTTGTTCCTATCCACCCCATACAGGTTTTTGGATCAAGGAAGCCTTTTACAGGGAGCAGCCCGATGTGAAGTTCAAGCATCAGATTCTCCTAGTCCTGCACACTGATTCTCAGATTGGTTACGTCACCTGGAGTACATACCTCAACTTCAATCTCCTGGAACAAGCCAACCTCAGGATACCACTCATTAAGGTCTGCAGACGGTTATATAACACTTTTCATAGGTTGAATCATGGATCTCCAAATAGCCTCCAAATCGCTTCCTTCTAGGTTCAATCCATATAAGCCAGTTCACGGTTGCAGTCTGAGCATGACAGATAAAGGGCATTGCAGAACAAATTGTGAAATACACGGAGACAAAATACTGGATTTGTGCTCATGAAAGTTATGTTATCATTATTCATTTATGCACAAGCAGTGCACTCCATGCTACACAGGTGGAAGTATTCTTTGAAAAGGGGAAACAAAGGCTATTTATGTAGCACCTCCATCGCTGTAGGAGTGATTATGTACAAAGTGGAACCTCTTCATGTTTTGAAGATCTGTGGATATTTGGGGTCATTTGGGACATGTGCTAACCTTGAACTGGTCTATGGAGTGAACTATTTGGAGCTTCATGAAATGACTGACCAATCAGAAGCAACTTCTGGTGACATAACTATGTCTCTGAACTAGCTATGGTTTTTGTTGTTGTTGTGTGTTTTTTTTTGGGGGGGGGGGGGTTGGGGTGGGTTATATAGCTACACTATTTTTAACAGTTTTATATCTGTTGAATATAATTTTTGTGTGAATCAAATTACCAGAATTTCCTATTGGTTTATTATTCCTTCATTCAAGCCATGTGTATGTTATTTGCAGTGTTGTGAACTGAAATGCAAACAAAATTTTGCCAAATGTGGTAAAAATTGTAACCAAAGAATTTATTTCAAATCATGATGGTTTTCCCCTGTTGATATATTGCTTAAAAGATATAAACAGTTTGGACAATCTAAAAAAAGAGGAAATTCACCCTTTGCAGATAGCGAAAGAAATATACATTGCTTCACAAAAGCAAAATAAATATCGACATGAACATGTGCAGGTATATATCGCTTCCACTTTTTATCCTCGTTTAATTTGTCTACCTCTCTCTTTGTCTCTTTTTCTCCCTCTATTTCTCTATGTATCACCCTCTCCTTTTCTTGATGGATGCAGTCGAGAGAAGAAGATTCTAACCGAGACGGAAAGAACGATAAGTTCCTCTTCTCCATTGAGGTACCTGTGCTGGACACAGAGAAGGTGCTTGGAGCTCAAGTCATTTTCATATTTGACTACAGGCTATATGTGAGTATGAGAGTTTTTTAATCCTTTACTTTAACGCCCCACTGCACTACTTATAGCTACTTGCGCCCTCTATATGGCAAACGATGCCTGGTCTCCCATGATCCCCTTTTTCTTATGTTAATTGAGAGCTGACTTGATGAGATAACCACCTGTCATGACCTTGTTGGGAGGTCTAATCTATCTTGACTAAACTAGTGCAGACAGACTTTAAACTGTGCTTGTATGTATTAGTGAAAGAATCAAACCTGTATTTGACTGAGAACATACATTGTAGGTGATCCAAGCATCATCCAGCTCAAAACCACCAATACATTGTATATAGAACTGACAATACTTGTCATCAGTGGCAAATGACAGTTGTTGTTAAAAGCTACTGAAATCCTTGCTTCTGATTGGTTATCAGCAGATTTGTCACTGTTTTTGTCATTTGTCACTGTTTTTGTCATTTGTCATTGAAAAAAGGCTTTGTGAAACAGGCGCCTGGTCAGAGAGATTGGTCAGTGCATTCTTGTTGTCCATAACCTCAAAGTCCCTAAGGCCTTGTAATAAAAATGGATGATGATTTAAAGAAATACAAGTAATTAGGTACCATATGATGTTTTGCCCTTTCTTCTTTCAATGCAGAGATTCAGTGATGTTAGAATGGAATCCATGGCGTATGTGAGTCATACCTCTGCCATGCCAGGTGCTGAGCTGAATGTGGATGGAGATCTCAGTCTTAGACTCAAACAGCCTTTGGCCCACAAGGGATATGACACAAGATATAATGTAAGCTCAATAGAATGCTACTGCCTTTGGCTATCAAGCTTGAAAAGGGATAGTTCCATACACTGAAGATGATAATGTTACTTGGACGAAATACCTGGTCAGTGGTCACTTATCAAACGATATTTTGTTATGAGGATTTCAATGACATGTGGTTAATTTTTTGTATAGATGGCGAGTTGGTGTCAATGTCATGGAATGGCTTTGAAATTGCTCCTTAGTTATGATGATATCTGCTTTTCTATAAAAGATTTTTTTTTTTAATGTGATATGTCAAGATTTGTAGTTATTGTTATTGAGAAATAAAATGTACATTTTCCTCTCCTAAAGATTAATACCCCCCCCCCCCGATGGTTAGGGATGTTTTTTGTTTCCCCTTACATTGTATAACAAATTATTGAACAATTTGTCATGGCTTTCTCGACAACGCCAAAATGTTGAATATTGACTGTAATCAAGTCTTTACTATTTGCTGATCAAAACAACCATAATTACATGCAAGGCAATTTTATCTTGTATTTGCTTTTAGTTATTTTCATATGTTTTTTCACATAGAAATAATAAATTCATTCTTTTTTTCTCAGGATCCCATTATTGACTCAACCAGTGTATTTGCAGAAGATTATTCATTTAGCAAGATCTTTTCCTCATATCAACAGAGAAACAGTGAGTAAACTTATGGCAAGCAGTGTAACCCAAGTGTTAAGCATAATATATGACTGTAATTCTATATATCGATTCTAATGCAAACTAAAGATTCAATGAATAAGTATCCAATTTTTTGTTTGTATACCATGTAGAGTGTGTGTGTTATTGGGTTTTTACAGACGTGTATCAATCAGATATGCTTATTTCATCTGGGGACTGACCTTTAAACGTCACCATCCGAAAGACGTGATGTAGATAGTAGATAGATGCATTTTATTAAATTATGTTGTTATTTTCCTGCCTATTTCATATACCCGGTATTGTTCTCAATTTATTCCTTATACATTGAATTTCTCCCTCGTCTCGCTCTCTGATTTCGCTCTCTCTACCCTATCTCCTTCCCCTCTCACCTCTGCCTCTCTGTTTCCTTCTCTCTGTCCCTCCCTCCCTCTCTCCCCTCTCCCTCTGTGTCCCTCCCTCTTCCCCTCTTCCTTTCCTCCCCTCTCCTTCCCTCTCCTTATCCCCCCTCTCCTTGCCCCCTTTCCTTGCCCCCCCCCCTCTCTCTCTCTCTCTCCTCCTAGTCTCCACACGTTTTGAGTGCGACTACCCAGTATGGTTAACAGGCAGAGGAACCGGCCAGCCTTTCATCATCAAAGGAACCATTTACTATCCAGAAGAGACCATTGTATATCCTTTTGAAACTCAAATGTGTGCATCATTTATTATTTACGAGAACAAAAAGGGCACAGAGAGACATGTTATAAAACAGAGAATGAGATAATGTCTTCTGTATAAACCAGAAGCTTTTGCAAAGAGCACAAATTCAGTGCTGTAATTCATTCATTTTCTAGCATGAAGCTCTTGCCATTCTTGGGAACAGTTTGCAAACATTTTGTGCATTCAAAAGGTTTCAGTTTACAGTTTACAGTATACATGTATGTAGTTTACTCTTTCAGATTGTCCATTATTCAATAAATGTACTTTAAATAAATCCACTGGTTGAATTGTTTATTTGTTAGTCCATTAGTGTAGTGATGTAGTGGTTCTTTCACTGTGACACAGTTTCAGAAAGTTATTTTTAGTGCAGTTTGCACAAATAGCCATGGGATTTAAATTCTGATTCTCTAAATATTCCCATTTGTGATACCTTTTTTCAGATCGAATTACATCTATGTACTTCGAAACATTTCAGTCACAGATAATGGAAGGAGTGGTCAAAATGCAAACCTTACTTAAAGCCCCACTGCACTACTTATAGCTACTTGCGCCCTCTATATAGCAAACAATGCCTAATCGGTGACCATTGGTCCTCCATGATCCTCTTTTTTTTATGTTAAGTGAGAGCTGATTTGATGAGATAACCACCTGTCAGTGACCTTGTAGGGTGATCTAATCCCTCCTGGAAACTAGTACAGATGGGCTTTAAATTACTCCCATCAAGCCATTGTCTACTGGACCGGGGTCTATGGAAAAGGAAACTTTCCGAGTAGCGAACCAGTTAAATGTAGAACAATAAATAGAATATGAATCACATTTTTTCAAAAAGCTTGATTAATTTCATTGCTATGTGCAGTCAGCTATAACAATGAGTTGATTGATGCAGCATAACTGCTTATGAATTTACGATGACAAATTATTAATGAGCGAGTAATTTGAAAAATGTCAAGAAAATATGAGTTGTACAATCATTTGTTTTCCTTAATTCCAGTGAACGTATGTTCCAGGTTTCTGGCAGGTCATCAAGTTTGGTTGGATCCAGTACCTCTCTGTGTTATTCCTCTTTATATTTTTGATGGAGCGAGTCAAGACGTTTGTCTTCGAGAACCAGATCGTCAACACCATCGTCCATCATCCGGTCCCACAGACGTATAAGAATCACTTCACGTGATCATTATACAGGTGTATATCGAGGGGCCAGTGACACAAAGACGTAACTCAATTTTGGCCACATTTTGAGAAAAAGTGGTTTAAGTGTCACTGAGCACTTGGGCCGCAAGGAGATAAGTCTATGTTTTACTACCTATTGACTTCAATGGGGTGTTGGATGGAGTTAAGCCTTTGTGTTTCCTGGAAAGCCCACATTTTTTTGAACATTTTGATATCAAATACTCATTTTGGCAAAATATGGAGTTACTTCTTTGTGTCACTGAACCCACGATATAGTGTTTAAACACCATCATCAAAATTTGTTTAGTTCTATCTTAAAATTTGTGATGGAGGTGATCAAGATGTTTGTCCTTGGGAAGTAGATCATTAACTTAGTGGCAGTTACATTTTTCTCACATCCTGGAGTTTTGTCTGAAGTTGCTACTTGGGCCACTACCAATAAACATGACGCAAAACTCACCTCAGGATTGTGTTTCTTCTCAGTGCAAGTTTTTGCAGTGTAAATGCTAGCTCTCAAAACACTGACTTGTGAATTATTCCAGTTTTTGGTCACATGTTATGGCATGCAGAGCATCGACAACTGGCACATGCGAACAACTCACACACACAGCAAACATGCTTCATGAATATGGGCCCAGATCACCAACAACATTATTCATGTTACAGTTCCAGAGGCTCCCAAAGTGTACTTTTTCATCAAGTTTGTCATACCCATAACCCTTCATTAATAAATCTTTTTATCATTGCAATATATGTAACTGACATTGTAAGGTTCTAACATTGTTGTGACATTGTCAACAGTTTATTTATGGCTTCAATCATTTAGATCCATCAATGGAGTGTGTCTTCATTAGACAATGACACCGATTGCTTAAAATGGCAAGGCAAAATATTTTACTTATTGCCTATCCAAATTTTAAATTGAGCATGGAAAAAATCATTTCAATGGTGAACTAACTCAAAGTGTTAGATGATAAAATGCAAAACTAATTTTTCTAGCTTGATCATCAACAAAAATGATACATCTAATGTCTGCATTTTCTGTCATTTCATCCCACCTATAACAAATGTACCATGAAACCAAAGGAAGAGGATTTGTTTTTTATGTGAAGTTTTCAGAATGTTACCATGTAAGATTATTTTGTATGTACATGTATTATGGTGGCTCCCCCTAACCTACCACCTCCAGACATCTATCCCCAAGGACAATAATTACCCCCAGAAAATATACTTCTTAAAAAATATCGTAGGACAATTATTCCAGACAACTACGTCAGACAACTCCCCCCCCCCCCCTTATGGAATTTACCCCTATAGACAACTACCTACAGGGTAATTGAAATATGGAGTAATTTTTCTGGAGGGTAATTATCCTAGGAACTAGTTTTCCGTGGTCTAGATTTCCAGGGGGGGGGGGGGGGTGATAGCCCAGGGTAGTTTTTGAAGTTAATAAAATGCTATACCTTCTGCAGACAATCATTTGGGAAGGGATCCTGGGACTTCACATTATGATGTATTGCCAGTGTTGGTAAAAAAAAAAAAAAAAAAAACCTGAAGCAGACTACACGCTGCACACATATTTGAATAGCAATGTATTTTACAAAGTTTTAATACTGCAGTAACAGTTTGAGAATTAGTACAATGAAGTTGTTTTTGATCTCCGATCTCTTAATTTAGAAATGTAAATAGTGTACAAAGAAAGGGTGTAAATATCTTTTATAATATTATGTACATCGTTTGTAAATCATGTAATTTCACCTTGCCGTTGATTAAATTATTGATAAAAAGAGAAATTTTACACTTGCTACATACTTCTACATACTTCTACATAATACTGCTCTGTTTCTACATGTTTGGGTTGTGTACCTGGAAGAAGAGGAATACAAGAGAGAGAGAGAGAGAGAGAGAGAGAGAGAGAAAGAAGCGAAAAAGAGAGGGGGAGCGAGGGGGAGAGAGAAACAGAACAAATCTTATTTGCTGAATTAATTAATTCTGCAATGATTTGATCTAACGTGGAAATATAGAGTGTAATAAAAGGGGTGAATATTGTGTTCTTAAACCCCCAAATTCAAGAAGAGTTTTGCGCAACTAACTTGTCATTTTATTTTGTCTATTAATGCTCTGTCAGCATAAAGTATACATTGCAACTTAAAGGTACTATGTCCCATTTGCAGGCCAACAAAAATGAAAAGGTTAAATTCCAACGGCATTTTAAAGATAATACTAATTTAGAACTTCCCTCAGAACAAAAATGCTCGAAAATGTCTCTACGTTTTGTGCTGCGCAAAGATTCAATCAGTTTAATTTGGCCATTACTAGAAGTGGGCTATTGATTTAGACAAATGCTAATGTAGTCTTTTCAGCTCATTTTATGTATGTTATTACCAAAGAAAAAAAGAAGTCGGTTAGTCACGGCTGTCACGCAATAGTGTCTGACCTTGAAGTCTAGAAAGTAAACGGGTTTCCTTGCATAATTTGAATACTAGGGTACTGCTAACGTTTAAATTTCACAGATAGGTCATACGTGACATATTCATAATTCCTGCAAAGTTCTACCTAATTTGACGTTGGCTGCAAAAGGGATAGACTTTCTACTGACAGAAGATAATATATTTTTTTTAGTTACAAAAACTCAGAGTTTAGTTTTACAATAAATCAGACATATTAAACAAAAGCGCAGAACACTCTCCTATCTTCTGAGTATTGTTGTCTTTGGTGAATTGATCGTGAAAAAGAAGAATTGGCAACATATAATTCTTTGGGGTCCACCCCCCCCCCCCCCCGTTGAAGAAGGGAAATAAGGGCAAGGAAAGTTAGAAGGAAAAATTAAGACACATGAAAAGAAGGTGATGCGACCCCAGCATGCATCCCATACTCGGTTGATGGCACTTTACAAATATATCATATAGGCCTTTACATGTATGTATATTTATTTCCGATGCTCTCCTGATCCAAGGCACCAGCTCCCCGTATTGGCCATGTCCGTCTCATTCTCTGATAATAACTAAAATCAGACTATCATCATTGTAGCAGATCCAATGATATGAACAAGGCTAGGGATATGTTCACCTTTGTACATGTTTTGAACCTTTTTGTGCTATTCAACCGCAATCCTCGTTTCCTCCCGCTTTCCTCCTCTTTTAGTATGTTTATTTTTCTAATGCTCCTAATGAAAACATGCTCCGGGTTCAGGGGCGTAAATCCGTACCGAGGAGTGGGGGGGGGGGGGGGGGATGATCGGCGATAGCCATCACATACTAGCTGGAGCACACGCCCGCACTAATTTACGCAAGCGCGCGCGATCGCGCACGCACGCACACACACATTCTCACATCAGGGCCTTTGTGGGGCACCTGATTGTGGGGTATTTCTGTGCGTTCCAGATATACCTTGTGGTCCCCTACTAGTGGGGTATGTACAACCTGGCGATAACAACCCGGCGGTGTGCTTACGATGTTACCATAAAAAAGTGTGCAAGTTTTAGCACACGCTCACAAAAAGTCATTTATGGGGTACCACTTCTAATGCCCCGCAGGGCATAGGACACCGAATATACAGTCATTTGAAAGACTTTACTCTGTGGGGTCCTGAAAAAATACCCCACAAAATAAAAATGCATCACAAGGGGTATGTGAAGCGCACATAAAACCCCACAAGAATGCTGAGGTGAGAGCGCACACACACACACACGCACGCACACACACACACACACACACACACACATACACTCACGCTCGCTCATTAGGGTTGTGTGGGTGAAAGGCCTTAGACGTTTCCTTAAATTATTAGTAAAAGAAGACGATTTATTGTACTGTTCTCTACTGTTAACCCTTGTCTGAATGAATCCCCCCTCCCGCGCGAAAGCTTTGGCGGTTCAATAAATTATTATAAAAAGAAGACGGTTTGCTGTACCGTTCTCGACTGTATGTCCTTGTCTGAATTCAGTTCCCCCCCCCCCCGGCCCCCCTCCCGCGCGGAAGTTTTGGCGTTTCGTTAAATTATAAGAAAAAGTAGACGATTTGTTAAACAGTGCTCGACTCTTAATCTTTGTCTGAATTCGGTTTACCCCTCCCGCGCAAAGCGCGGGACTTTTGACGTTTCATTTAAATTATTAGAGAAAGCAGACGATTCGTTGTACCGTTTTCGACTCTCAATAAGCCCTATTTATCTGAATTCAGTTTCCCCCTCTCGCGCGAAGCGCGGAAGCCTTGACGTTTCCTTAAATTATTAGAGAAAGCAGACGATTGGGTGTACTGTTCTCGACTCTTAATTCTAGTCTGAATTCAGTTTCCCCTTCCCGCGCGAAGCGCGAAAAGCTTAGACGTTTGATTTAATTATTATAGAAAGAAGACGATTCGTTGCACCGTATTCGACTCTTAATAAGCCATTTATCTGAATTTAGTTTCCCCCTCTCGCGCGAAGCGCGGGAGCCTTGACGTTTCCTTAAATTATTAGAGAAAGCAGACGATTGGGTGTACTGTTCTCGACTCTTAATTCCCGTCTGAATTCAGTTTCCCTTTCCCGCGCGAAGCGCGAAAAGCATAGACGTTTGATTTAATTATTATAGAAAGAAGACGATTCGTTGTACCGTTTTCGACTCTTAATAAGCCCTATTTATCTGAATTCAGTTTCCCCCTCTTGCGCGAAGCGCGGAAGCCTTGACGTTTCCTTAAACTATTAGAGAAAGCAGACGATTGAGTGTACTGTTTTCGACTCTTAATTCTCGTCTGAATTCAGTTTCCCCTTCCCGCGCGAAACGCGAAAAGCTTAGACGTTTGATTTAATTATTATAGGAAGAAGACGATTCTTTGCACCGTTTTTTACTCTTAATAAGCCCTATTTATCCGAATTCAGTTTTTCACTCTCGCGCGAAGCGCGGAAGCCTTGACGTTTCCTTAAATTATTAGAGAAAGCAGACGATTGGGTGTACTGTTCTCGACTCTTAATTCCCGTCTGAATTCAGTTCCCCTTCACGCGCGAAGCGCGAAAAGCTTAGACGTTTGATTTAATTATTATAGGAAGAAGACGATTCTTTGCACCGTTTTTGACTCTTAATAAGCCCTATTTATTCGAATTCAGTTTTTCTCTTTCGCGCGAAGCGCGGAAGCCTTGACGTTTCCTTAAACTATTAGAGAAAGCAGACGATTGAGTGTACTGTTTTCGACTCTTAATTCTCGTCTGAATTCAGTTTCCCCTTCCCGCGCGAAGCGCGAAAAGCTTAGACGTTTGATTTAATTATTATAGAAAGAAGACGATTCGTTGCACCGTTTTCGACTCTTAATAAGCCCTATTTATTTGAATTCAGTTTCCCCCTCTCGCGCGAAGCGCGGAAGCCTTGACGTTTCCTTATCGTGACATACTGTATACGTGTAGGCTATACATAAACAAAATAACTAATTTCCCATGCATTATGCTGCAATTGAAACAATCACTTTTTTTTTTTTCTTCTTCTTCCTTTTTTTTCCTTTTTTTTGGTGGTAATATCAGGGGGGGGGGATGATTGTACAGGCCATCCCCCCTACTTCAAGCCAGGGGGGATGCAGCCCCCCCCATCCCCCCGGGATTTACGCCCCTGTCCGGGTTCCAAAGGTCCCCATGTTTCCCGCCCGTTTGCCGAACCGAGGGTAAAGTAAGTACTGATGACATAGTGATCATAGATTAATCATTTCGGCTGTCTTCATTACAACGCCTCAACTGGTCCATGTATAGTAGCATGAAACCAGGGGCGGCGATCCCGGGACGGACGCGGGGGGGGGGGGGGGTCATGTAGGGGGATTGTCCCCCCGGAAAAATTGATAAAGGGCAAAATAAAAATGTATAGCAAATACTGACTTAAGATTGCAACACACCTTTAGGATCTGGAGGGCCCAAGGGTCGCGTAGACAAATAAAATTGCAAAAATCTTCTCGCTCGGTAGCTATGCTTCCTCCCAAAACATCCTTCAAAATATACAAGTAAATATTGTAGAATATTGAAGTGTGAAAAAATATTGCTTGTTTTTATACTCTAGTTTTGCTAAGGAATGTCTTAAATACAACAAATCATGTGATGGGGTAGTAATTTTCGCCACCTTCACCCCTTCCATTCACTATGTTCCCTCGCACTAGCGTAGTGATGCGGGGGGGGGGGGCTGGGGAAGTTGCCCTCCCCCCGTCAATAAAATTCAAACGCAGTTTATTTCTAATTCGATACCAGTGATTTACAAATGTTGCTGAAATGGCATGTTTTTTCCTGAGCTTGCGGGGGCTCTGCCCTCTAGACCCCACCAAAGGTCCTAAGGCGGGCCCCTGGATGCTCATCTGGTCGTAATTTAATGCCTAAAACCCCTGAGCTTCTGGGGGCTCCGCTCCTTGGACCCAGCTCCAATTAGTGACATACATGCCAGTGTCGAAAGGTATCAAAATATGCTCATCTGACCCTAAAATTCCTAAAACCTCTGAGCTACCGGGGGGGGGGGGCTCTGCCCTCTAGACCCCACCAAGGGTCCTAACGCGGCCCCTGGATGCTCATCTGGTCGTAATTTAATGCCTAAAACTCCTGAGCTTCCAGGGGCTCCGCCCCTAGACCCGCACCAATTTAAGCTCGACTTGCTTTGAAAAACGGTCATGTAACATAAATTTTCGGCGTAATTTTTCAATTTACCCCCCCCCCCTTGAAAAAATCCTGCGTACATGCCTGGTGATGCGGATTTTTTTTTCTGCCCCCGCCCCCCCCCCCCCCCCAAAAAAAAAAAAAAAAACGTGTTTGCTCATTTCTTCCCTCCTGTAATGAAAATAAATCGCCGCACCTGGTAGCGTCATAACTTGGAAAGGCTTACGACCATTGTTTACCTCACGCTTGGAGGGTTCGTTCGAAGTTCAATAGTTGCTCTTTCATGACCTTCCCAGATACGTGCATATACATATCGAATGTTTCTCTCGACTACCACACAAAAGTTGAGTCACATCTTTTCACATCGGCCGTTATAATACAGTAAGCCATACTGTACGTTTTACATTACATCACTATACAGTTGCCTTTGAATTTGAGAAACACGTGGTAGTCAAGCATCGCGGGAGAAAGCTAAAATGGAGACTGCAAACTTGAAATCTTTGATGCACGACCCCGACTACTATACGAAGTCTTTTCACGCATACGCCAAGAGTTCAAAGAAGTTCGCTGTGTTGGAGAAATGGGGGGAAAACGTCTTCCCAAAGTTGATCGGTGATAGGCTGGTAGACACCCTTCCTGCAGATACCAATATTAATATGTTGGGGATAGGCAGCGGTTCGGGTAAGACTCATATTTTTAAATGAAACGTCACCCCAAGAAATAACTTTACATATTCTGAGATATTTATGATATTCTTGCCCATAAATCTACAGGATTTCCAACCAAAGTGTTTGAGAGAGGCATTTAAAGCAAGAATAATGTACAGTTTCTCTACACGACGTAGGCAACGCCATTTTCTTGACATACATTATTTTATGTGAAGTCGTTTACCAATGCTTCCTTCCCAGGTCACCAGATGTCATGTGTGTGGTGATGAAGCAAATTTTATCAATAAGTTGGTGCTCTTCTGGGGTCAACTGCTATATTTTAGTATTAGTTTAAATGAATTAGTTACCCTGTTATAATTTTCCATCAGATATAATTTATTCTCTGCTATGATTTGTCCTCATTGAAAAATAAACTGGTTTTGTTATTGATTTTAAAAGTCTTTCCAATTAAAGCTTGGTACATGTAAAACTTCACTTAGTACGTCACATTTTTAAGAAAATGGCTGCGCCCATGTCATGCTAAAAGGCATCACATCATGCCAAGAATATCTTCATTTATATATCTCTTTTACATATTCGTAAGAAACTTTGTAAAGGGTAGGAATACATATCATTTTCAGAATAGGTACATGTACACTTATTCTTTGGAATAATGTATAGTGGTATCAATTGTTCGCAAAATATAAAGTTCAATGTTCATAATATGGTATTGTGCGACAAATCGTATGACGTTGGTCTCCCCATAGCAATTCATCCAAATATTAATACAAATCCACGTTAAAGGTAAAGACCAGTATTGGAAACGCCCCAATTTCAAAAAATGAATTTGAAGCTCTTATTACCAATCATGTAAAAGAATATGTTTTGACTAATACACGATGATAAAAATTTTGCCGGGAAACCGCCTACTAATTGATATACTTGGTAAATTAGTTTATCTACATGGTCTGTGAGAGATAAACACACGTGTCGCGCACGTTTGCGTATAGTACCATATACATCTTTCTGTGTACAGTGCTTGTAACTTTACGAAGACTGGGCCATATTTCTTATCATTTTGATGATTCCAGAACCTTGCAGTACACACCAATACTTATATGCTAGATGATCAACCTTTTCTGATCGATTTCACAACGTTTCTTTCACAATGCAATCGCATGACCATAACTGGTCTTTACCTTTAAAGACATTTCAAATCAAATTCCTGGAAATTGGGTTTTTGTTTCTTCAGAAAATTCTATTTACACGAGTGGAAGCACTGGCGGATCTGTTTTTAAAACCCGTAACAATTCTCTCATGCATGGATCAGATATAGACCTAAAACAATTCTCATTATCTCCAGTATTAGGAGTAGATATCATTGTCTAAATCTGAAACAAAATTGAGCAATGCTTGAGTCGTGCCCGGCTTTCCAGCAATCATAAATTATTGTACATTTTTCTACTTCAGTTGAAGTATACGATCGACCATATCAATTTTCAGGCGGATGGCATCTCACGTTTCGGACCTTACAGCTTTCACATCAATCATATCTGGACCGTCTAAGAAAAAGTTTGAGAAACCCTGATCTATCGTGAAATATACATGTAAGCTGCGACTAGCTTCAATGTACTGCCACGTCTTCTTGTATTGCATATCAGTACGACTAACAACGGGGCTATCACCCTGGACAACTATCCCCCGGACAAAACCAACTGAACCAGTCAACCCGACCCTCCCTCCCCAATGTAGTGCCCTCTATTGAATCAGCATAAGGGGTAGTTTGGGTTAGTTGTCGTAGGGGATAGTTTTTTTTTTGGGGGGGGGGGGGAGGGGGTATCCGGGGGTTACTGCTGTCCCATAAGGTAGATTATCTGGGTAGTTGTCCGGGATGATAGCTCAGGTGGAAGTTTTCCTATAATGTTTTTTATTGAATGTAGCCAAAATATAATTATAATGATTCAACAAGTTTGATTGTAACCATATTCAAAATCAGTTATGAGAATCGGCTCAAAATATCGATAATGAAATAGAATTTATTCGTTTAAAACAGTCCACGGACTTGTATGGATCTACAAATATATTAATGTACAAATATATTAATGTATAAATTATTAATTATTAATATCCATTAATGCGTCGACCATTACGGCATGTGTCCATTTCCCCATAACTGTACACGTACTTCGTTCAATGCTTGATGCACAGTGAATTGGTTGCTATTATGCATAACAATATTGTCAGACTATGAACTGCAAATATATTGATTTAGAATGGGAAAATCACACATGACGATGCTAATACTTCAATTTATGATGAATTGAGGTAATTGATGTCTTTTTCCAGGGGCCAAAAATCATATGGGCTGGAAGCGGTGAGGGAGGGGGCAGAAGGGCACATACCCCAATACTCCTATCAAGAAAAAATAGAAGAAGAAAGAAGAAATTGCATGCAATTAATATGCATAATAACAATATTTTCTAGTTTTCTGATACTCTAACATGCAAGCTCCAAGCATACCAAAAACATAAATATTATCGCTCGGTCGCTATAAGCTCCTACGAATAAGTATAGACGAAGTGTTTTTAATTCTGTAAACCCTGTCTAGAATATATAGGCACCAGAAGCAAGGCAGATGTTTTCAGCTATCAAGTGATTAAGGGGCAAATACTTCGTACCTTTTGCCCCTTGTCCTTTACACAATAGTCGTTGTCACGTCACCTTGGGGACCATAGTTATGACCAGACCCTTTCGTACCAGTATGAATTTGATATTATTCTCCATTCTGCAACCTTTTTTTTCATAAAACGACGGTATTGCAGATAATATGTTTTATGAAACACGAACAAGTTCTAACACGGCCCTAGTGAATATTATGAAACAAGAATAATACCATTTTATTTTCATGTTATATGTGTTTCGATTCTTTGTGAATAAGCCGAGGACTAATACGACTTATCTGTATTCTGTATCTGTACTGTTAGGTCAGCACAATGTCTGTTAAGGACACCCCACGCTAACCTGGAGCTGTGGTAGAGCCCAAGGTGGAGTTAGTCGCCCTGAAAGCAGTAGACAAAATAAGCAGTATAGTTCTGGCTCAAATCTCACTAGGTTCAATAATAAATTCAGACATACCGGCCCGAATTCACAAAGGAGGTTTGTCGACAAACCTCCTTTTGTTTTTCACAAACCAGGTTTGTAAAAAAAACGCGTAAAAACGCGTCATATGACGTACGAAAACGTCGACAAAATCTCCTTTGTGAATTCGGGCCAATGTGTTTTCTACTCTCAAAACGTCAAATGAGGAGTCTGGTCTCGCAGACTAGTAGGGAACTGTCTGTAACGATTGTTGAATAACCTAATAATTCCATTGAACATACATGTATATGTTATGTCTGAAGACATCTCTATTCATGCATGAAAATTGAGACTTAATAGTCATTGTGAATTCCATACGGTTTGTACGGAGCTTGCATGTACTGTATGGAAATGCGAAGGCTCTTCAGACGTATTTATTGGACCATTTTTGTTGTACTGGTGCCACATGCACCAGGGCATTTTTTTAATCAAAATGTGATCATATTTATTTCAGCAAGAATACCAATTGTTTGTTAGAGAGAGCGGGGGGGGGGGGGATGCAAGTTCTTCTTTATTTTATAGATGTTATTACATTGAAAGCAATTGGAAGATTATTTATTATTCAACTTGCAATAATTCTACAGTGAATGAAAAGTCTGTGGGGGGGGGGGGCAGGGGAGGAAATGTTGTCTGGGTGGGAGGATGCTGCCCCCCTTACCATCATATATACGTATTCTAATTTTTTTTAGCTGCTGCATGATGGTTCTAAGAAGGATAGAGGGTGATCTATGTCAACAGGGACTTTTAGATTTGCGTGGACTGATACATGTGACGCCCATTCAAGGCAGTGCATTAAAACGGGACGTCGATCGTAGCAATCCCTATTGTCTTCTTGCGAAACTAAAAGTCCATATCGCTGATAATAAACGAATGATTCCCCTTCCCCTGACATCGAATTTTCCCATGAATATTTTCGAGAATTCCGCGCAGTAGAGTTGGTTGGAGTAGTAGGAGCCGCCCCCTAAAAATTGAATGTTTGCGAGTTTTACAGAAATTAGTATCCAGGGCAAATCCTGCCAGTCCTCCCAAGTGTTCGGGCGAGGGCCATGGTTTTTTGTGTTGCAGAGGACCCCTTTTCATGCCTTTCCCCTCAATAGTTCCGTCTGTGATACTCGTTTTATTCTTGAGAGGGATACCAGGTGAAACAGAAAACATCAACCATTTTGCATTTTTATTATTTTGATCTTCCAGGTGAGATGGATAGTGCGATGGCAGCAAGCCTGAAGGCTCGATTCAAATCCGTCCGAAACGTCGTAATCGAACCCGCCGCCAAGCAGCTTGAGAAGTACCGCTCTCTCGTAAAGAGTAACAAGTCCGACTTCGAGGGCATTGAGTTCGACCTGCGTCAACTCGGCATCGACGAGTATCGTTCCCAGGAGGGCGACAAGCCGAGGAAATACCACTTCATCAGCGCTATCCATTCCATTTACTATGCTGAGGATCACAAGGACACCATACGCTACCTCTACGATTGTTTAGAGGAAGGCGGAATTCTTCTTATCATTGTCGTTTCAGGTGAGATACATTCCGGGGGGGGGGGAGGGGGCAGATCCAAGATTTTGTAAAGGCGGAGGAGGGGGAGGGCAATTCTGAAATAAAAGCAAAATGGAGAAGGTATTCAAGATTTTGTAAAGGCGGGAGAGGAGGGGGGGGGGAACAATTCTGAAATAAAGCAAAATTTAGAAGGTATTTGCTTGGTATTTTCTTTCGGGATTCAAGATGGGGTTTAAAGGAGGAAACGGGCTCATAGTGCCATACCTTCTCTCTAAATCCGCCTCTGCATTCCTGTAACTAATTAATAACTCCTTTGCACACTGTCACAAAGTAGGACAATAACTCTCTTCTGTAATTGTTTCGCTTGTAATCTTCGCTGGTACATCTATCTTACCCCGTTTCCTCCTCTCTCCTTTTTGTGCCGATTATAGTTGCCGGTGGTTTCTGGCGCCTGTGGGATCGCTTCACCCGATTCCAGGATAGCGTCAGCCGCTATCTCTGCACCACACACCTCCGCGATAGCCTCTCGTCTCTCGACATCCCTTTCGACGAATCCCGCCAGGCGTCATGCGTCGACATCACCAGCTGTTTCGAAGAGGGGTCCGAAGACGGGGAACTCATCATCGACTTCCTAAGCCACACTGTCGATCTCCGTGGGTCCGCGTCGCCGGAGCTCTATCAGGAGGTGGTTGATTACATGGGGTCCGACCAATGCTCCGAGCGGAAAGAGGATGGGACGATTCTCTTCAACAACGACTGGGACGCTGTCATAGTGCAAAAACCGCTCTCGAAATCGTAATTACATTCCCAGTCAACTCATGACGTCTTTAGGACGTTCGAGAATCATTAATTCCCGTTGCACAAGAGGTGTCATTAGGGACTTTTTTCGCACGAAGACAATAGGTCTATGCTACGATCGACGTCCTTTTAATGCATTGCCTTGAATGGACGTCACACGTATTAGTCCACGCAAATCTGAAAGTCCCCATTAGGGACTTTTAGATTCGCACGAAGACAATGGGGATTGCTACGATCGACGTCCTTTTAATGTACTGCCTTGAAAGGACGTCACACGTATCAGTCCACGCATCAGTCCACGCAAATCTAAAAGTCCCTATTATTTTGCCTGACGTAGGTCTCCCTTAGGGACTCGTGTTGCTTAGCTTTTGACATGCCATGAACAGATAATACTAGAGCTATGTAGCCACACTCACACGTACACACACACACACAAAGTGAATGCAAAGTGAAAAGTGCAAGGATTAATTTGTTTTAATGGCGTATGCGCCAATAGGTTCGATCACTGTATACACCACATCCTTTAGCCCGTCGCACATGAGGCGTCATTTTGCTGACGTGTCACTCCGTCACTGCGTCAGTGATGAGTTCAGTCCTTTCACGGAGGGATATCGCTCAAAGGATGAATGCAAAATGGAAAGTTGAAAAATAGCGGTGAATTACTATAGTGTATGCACTTAATATCCTTTTTATCCTATAATAGCGCAGGTTTTAGCGCAATCGAATTGTCGCCTCGTATGTAATGGGCTTAAGGAGTTTTAATGACACTTCTGATAACCTTTCACTGCAACAAATTTACCCTTTCATGAATATTTGTGAAATTATGATAGACAATAATAGCAATTCACGCTTGACAGGTTTTATGCACATGTATTGGTTAGACCTACCCTTAAAACATTTCTCTTTCAATTCTTATCGTCTTAATAAGTACAAACCATTGCTGTATATCATTTGGTATACTATTCCACTTGTAATATACATGTTTCATTCCTCGTTTCGAATTTCAGGTGTTATTTTGATAATCAGATCCTCATGTAAATGTTGAAAATGGTGCATGTGTAACTAGATCAAATAAATAACTTTTGAATGAATATGATACTCTTTTTGGTCTGATTTCAATTTTTACTTTTCTTCTGGTAAAAAATACCATAGCCTGCTCAGATAACTCTCACCTGAGCGAAGTGGTTCAAAGACACAACGGTCGTCTTCCATAAATATCTTTCTTAGTCTCTCGCTTCGCTCGCTAGCCACATTTAGACAGCAAGGGGCCCGAATATACATCATATCTTTTTATATTTCGAACTTACATTATAACCATACTCATTTAGAAACAGGATAAATCTTCGCAACGAGATATCCGAATATCTCAGTTCATAATCATGTATCGAGGCCATAACTGAATATACCATTTTTTTAAATGTATGTGCCTCCGGCAACGACATACCCAGATACAAAACTTTATATCTTTTCTAGTGTGTTGATTACATTTTTTATTTAAATACCTTTTTTTTTTACAAATGTCTTCTTTTTTTCTCGCTCGCTCGCAAACATTTAGAATCAAATATGCCCACATGTGTTTACATGGAACTTGATGAGTGCCAGAGTGATGCAAAATGAATATTCTGTGATGAATTTGGGATTGGGGTAACGCGAATCATTTTATTTCTTGAAAGGGTGCCGTGACTAACTTAATGTTAACAAAACACTGCACTAGACCACGATACCTCTACATAATATGACCAACAGAATCGGCATAAATATCTTTATATTACAAATACAGTCAAAATGCAGCCTAATAAAAAAAGGCAAAACAAATGAACTGACATTTTCAGACAATTTTCTTTTTAAGACAATAAGTTCAGTTCAGTTCAGTTCATTTCATTTTCACAAATAGAAAGGTACAAAATTGGACATTTGTTAAGCCTATCATAACAAAAGAAAAATCGTCACACAAATATTAATAGGCATGACTATTCAATATCAGGAAACAAATTAAAGTAAGATTAGGAAAAAAGAATACACATGATATTATTTTGGAGGGAGCCAATACGAAGGCAGTTGAATAGACATTAATTCGTTCGCACTCAACATAATGGTAACGAATTAAAGCAGTGTTCAATTTAATTTTATAATAATAATTGAATGAAAAATGTACTAGGAATTTTTTATTTATATATGATGTCCACTGAGCATTAAATAGACATATTTCTAAATTTCAAAAAGGAACAAAATTTAGTATCTACTTTTCGTTACACATAAAACTCTCTATGTTAGAAATAAGTCATATCTTTTAAAGAACTTGTTTAGAGCATCATCATGTTTCTGTATTCCACTTTAAGCCTATTTTGGAAAAAATGAGAATATCTTTAACATTCGCCTAAAGAAGAAAAAATCAGCTCGTATGGTTCTACTGTGACTCTGCAGGTGATAATTGAACAGAGATATAGATTGCTATTAGGATGAGGTTGGGGAAGGATCGGTCGGTAGGCTAAACAGTTGATAGGAAAGTAATCCCGCTGATTTGGGTGTCATTCTTGGGATGTTTTTGTGTCCCCCTCTCTCCTTCTTTCATAATATCTCTCTTTCCCAATTTCACTTTCTGATCGGCGTATTTCCCTCCACGGTCCACCATACAAGCATTAAAAGAATTGTACATCACTGATTTGGAAAGACTTATTACAGCCCGACTCGGAAAACAATATATTAGATTTTTTTTATTTTTTAATTTTTTAAATGATTTGTTGATTTTCACAGGAAACGTAGCAAACTTAAAATTACCCCAAACAAACATTTGTAAAATGCAGAAAGAAAACAGCCGTGATCTTCTATAACAAATTAGAAGAAAAAATGTATAAGCATTACATATATATATAGCTTAGAATATTGAATGGAGTAGAATTAGATCACCACACATTATTACAATTTTCTAATAGGCTCGTATGCACAAAGGGGACTTAATAAATGAGATTTAGGTTAGTGTACTGAAATAAGGAGCGCTGTTTATCTATATTTCATACAAACTACTCTTACTTTTTTAAAGGGATAGTTGAGTTCTGTTTTCAGACCGCAAATGCCTTCAAAGTGCATAGTTATTGCTATTATTCTTATCTATGACATTTATAGTGCCCTTTTAGAACCTAAAATTGCTATGAAGGTAATTTTAGACCCCAAAATGTGTGAAATTTAGCCAATACAATCATATCATTTCAGCTCCTCTTTTAAAACGTTATAATTGAATTACAAATAACAATACATGAGCCGGCTAATTATTGTGGGTAATATAAGCAACACGAAAATGCCGCCAACAAAAAAGCCAACATCGGCATTGGTTGAAATACGACGTAAAAGGCGTTATTTCGTTTTTTTTCAACGGTTTTTTCAAATTTTTCAAAATATCTAATATTTGTGGTGGTACACAAGTATTAGAAATCGTTATATGTGTAGCACCCTCTGCAACAGAACTCAACTATCCCTTTAATACAATAACAAAATAAATACGAATCCATTTATATAATAAACATGTGATGATTTCATTTCGCCATGATTTTGTTTGTACATTCATACATGGTAAATCTTACAAGATGAATAGGTTAACAGTTGGCTCTCCATAAATGAGGAATTGATTCCATTTTATGTTCCTATTTTGGATATGCAGTACAGTATTCTCAATTCATGACAAGTGTTACTATCATTCGATCAAACATAAATACTCATTCTTTATTAGCAAGACGAAAGAAAAAGAACAAAGATCTTGAGAACACTTAATAGTAATAATAGGAAGGAGTAGAATTTGTGAACGAAGCCAGACTATTGAGAAAAAAATGATTAATTGAAATTACTAGTAATCATAAAATTGTTCAATATCTACGACAAATAATAAAAGAGTATTAATTCGTTTAGCGCTGTACAATAATATCTGTTACCAATGTCATGTATTTACGCATTTATAGATAACAAAGAAAAGTTTAGTCTTCAGAAATTTCTTCAGATTTGTTAAAGGAAGATTTATTTTATTTATTTATTTATTTCTGATATTTATACAGGGTGGCACATATCACCAATTTGGTGGTCTTCCATGAGGCCCTGTTTGGTAATAATAAAAACAAATAACAGCATCAAAAACAAAATAGATAAATACACAAGCATATAAACAGGTAAAATACAAATTAATTGGTATCCCCTTGAAATAACTGATCATTCAAGAATCATCCTTGATCATTTACAAGAAATAGGTGAATGGAATTATCAAATTAAATACAATTTTTAAAAACGTTCATTTAATATTCTGATATAGCTTAAAGGTATTACAAAGTTTTGGTATGGGGTCATGAATTTGGTTAAAATGAACATAATTATTGGAAGCATATGCGACCCTACAATATTCAGTGATCGTTGTCGCGGTTGAAATCGATTCTGAAGTTATGAAATTATAAATAATAAACTCTTTATGTTGTATAGCTCCCTCTCAAGGTCAAGATATTAATTAAGCTATAAAACAATGTTTCTTGACTAAAATGGACCGATTAGCTATTCCCGTTTGGAAATTATATATCACAACTACATATTCTGAAATGTTCATGGTCGCAGCTACCATTGTACGGCCGTAGGCGCTATTTTGAAATTTATCAAAATTTACCGGGAGCACCGGTAAATTTTTATATTCAATTTTTCTCGAAAGCAGAAGTGTTTTAGGTGCTAAATTTTCTATTGCTTATATTACATCCACAGGAGCATCCAAATATATCAAAATTGAAAAGAATCACCACCACCCAATTTTCAAAATTTCCCAAAACTTTGTATTACCTTTAACGCACGGGATACCAAAATTGTTATATACATATTTACATTCAATTGCTCTTTAACTAATACACTTAGGTTGTTTACAAGAAAACGGATACATTACATGTATGAATACATGATATAACGATAACCATGTCAACCAAATTTCATAAATTTGCAAATAGGAAAAAAATGGTTACTTTCGCACGAAACCCCCAAAAGTTCATTTACACGTCATCTACAGATAACAGGGCTTTTAGAGCGTGTTTAAAACTGTTCAAAGTAGTTGACATTTTGACAGGACTTTTAAGTTGGTTCAATACTCTAATTCCAGAAATTAGAGGACTATTTTTATAAGTATCCGTCCTAAATTTGGGTTCACACAAT